CCAAAATTTATTCATCATAAATGCTTATTTATATATATATATTTTTTTGTCACTCTCTTGAGCAATCTCTCGTTACTAAAAGCTTTAAAAAGGACTAAAATCAAAGATAAGATAAAACTTTTCCACATTGACATGGGTTTTTTTAAAGTTATCAAATTAGGAAAAATTTTCTATATAAAAAAACCTCCAAAAAGGAAATCTTTTCTATATTAAAAAAGTAACGGGACCAGAAGTAAATAAAAAAATGGACTAAGAAAACAAAATTCAACTATTCAAAAAATCCTCATTTCAAAAAAAATTCGAGTTTGAGTTTGACTCATTTAAAAGTATACTCGAATTTTAATTCGAATGGGGTAGCTCAATGTTAAATAGGACTTTGTTAGGGTTTAATTATTATGGCTTAGGTTATAGGTTCGATCTTTTAAAAGCAAAAACTTTTTCCTTGGGCCAGCTCCTTTGCCTCCCAAAAATGAGACTAGATTAGTCATGTTTCTGTCTCCAATTAAAAATTCAATGTAAAGGAATTTTGTTGAGCTTTTTTTTCAAGATTACTAAACACTAAACATGCATATTTTAGAAAAGAAAAAGAAAATTAGCGTCTAATGATATAGCTGAAACTATTTTAAGATTTAGATGCTAATATAACCTCGCTAATGTAAAAAATTTATTTAAATTTTTATTTATTAATGGCAAAATAATCACTTCAATTTTTTTGTGTTTTTTCAATCGACTTTATACTTTCTTTTATGTTGGATTATAATTTGAAATTTTAATATCACTTGTGTATTTTTTTTTTTTTTTACCTAATGCTATAAATTAATAACTTTACCTACTTTTACTTTTATTAATTTATTCCTTAATTTGAATTTTTAATTTCATTTCACTCCACCGTAGGTATGAGTTATTTAGTTTTGCAATTAATTCAATTGGCATTTGTCCATAGTTATTTATGGATTGATTAAAGTTATTAAAAATTTTCATGATTTTCATGGTGTAGGCGAAGGTTCTTTTTAAATAAGGCTATTCCCTCACATGATGTCTTTTTCATTTCCTCAAGCAATATCTTCTAAAAAGGTCTTTATGTTTATTTATTATATAGGTTGTATTCAAAATAATAATAAATACTTTCTCACCTATGTATTATTTTATTTAATTATTTTCCAAAGGCATTATCTTAATTTTCTTTTTCAAAAAACAGAATTTACATTAAAGGGTCTTGCTTTATAATAGTGCCAGTCCACAAGCAGGGACAAGTCTTTAGCTCAAAAGTTTGGTCATCAGTCAACTTTATCCTTCTTTCTATTAAATATTAAATGACAAGAGCATGTGATGAGCTTAACACAAAAGGCTCTTTTTTGTTCATGTCTCTGTCTATTATTTCTAGATTTTGATATCAATTTATCAATCACTTTGTCCCTTTTTTACCCCTAAAGAGACTTATTTAATTGGTTAGAAACAGAGGACTTCTCTTCTCTCTCTCTCTCTCAACAGTTGATTTGATGGTCAAAAATGGATTTTGTATATAATAAGTAACATGGTAATTAAGGATTAATTAATTAATTAAATTATTAATTCTTAATTTGGACTAAGAAATCATGGCATTTCTGTGCTTCAAACAAATGCCAAATCCATTGCTGCTTTTAACTATTATATCCATTTGCTTAATAGAAATGCAATTTAGGCCCTTTTGCTTACCATTTTGGAAGGACAACTAGATATCTACTCATTTAATTGAACATGAGGTTATTATAAATTAAATCTTATATTAAATTAATAGACTAAATAATTTATAATTGTGAATTAATTTTATATTAAAATAAATTCACCTTCAATGCCTCTATTCTTTTTATAAGTTCATGTATGTGCTATAGTACTCATAAACTTTTAATGTAAATGAGAGTTTATAGATTGTTAGACTTCGTGTTTTAGTCTCTTCGTAAGACTGAGAGTTGGATGGAGATCGATATTTTAAGCATGGTCTCATGTTGTATGGGTATAACTATCTGTATTTCAAGGCATTACTCGTTTACTCTCACTCCTATTTTATTAATTAGTAATTTAATATTTGATAAAATACCAAAAAATAATTTTTTTTTCCTTTCATTTTAAACTTTTCACTCAATAATTGCATGTTATGCAATTATGCCTTTTTAAAACGCAAGTATTACCAGTTTATTGTTTGATCTAGTTGGTCTTCTCACTTATGTAAAGAGTGAGAAGCCTTGAATTCGAATTTTTCTCGACTACAAGAATTATCATCAATTTGGTGAGCAAAGAGTTTCACGTTGAAGTTGATGAGCAAGGATTAGTCATTTAAGGATCAGTTGAATACTAAGAGATGAAAGAAGTTCATTAGTTTATAGATGAGTGTTTGAAAATTTAGCCAATGGTGAGGATAGAGGAGGCAGCAGCATTTAGACAGAGGGCAATGCTTATAATGTGAGTTGTGGCCGCAAACCTAAATCTTAATGCTTTTTTTGTTTATTTGATAAGGGAAATCCAAAACAAAAAGGACAGAAATTATTCCTTTAACATTAAATTTTGTAAAGAACATTATTATAAAGAAGGAAAGGAAACCATGTTTTCCGATTTATTAATCAAAAATCCCAACAACTTATCAAGTATTGACAAAAAGAAGATAACAAAATGAAAAATTTGCTGTTTGATTGATTGATCCCACCCACTATCTATAATCAATAAATGATGATGATGATTGAGGTTTAGGGATTTTAATGGATTATAATCATATTGACTTTTTTCTATGCACAAAAGCTTGTGTTTTTAAAGAAGAAAGTGGCCCTTAAGATGCACATTTAAACTCCTTTAGAGGTTGTTTTTTTTATTGATGGAGACATGAGAAAACATCTCCACTCTGTTGTTAGGCAAAATTAAGGGAAATTATTGTTCTTAAAAATGTTGAGATGACCAATTATCTTTTTTTTTTTTTTTTTTTTTTTTTTTTTAAGTTCTTTCTTTATATTTTCTTGAGTTTATAACCATTTTTTAGAGGTTTAAAGTGCTTAAAACTTCTTGTACATAAAATTTCTTCACCCATTTTTGTTAAAATCTCATCCTTGTTATTTTACTGTTTAGGGATTAATTTTTGGAAAATTAATGTTGCTAAACGCAATAAGTGAAATTAAAGGGAATGACATTAAATTTATATCAACTGAAGTATGACTTTTTTTTTTTTAGGAGAAATCAAATTTTAAAAATTTCATTAATGAAAACTTGTATTTACAGATATGAGATACAATAAATTATGTTTATATATTTTGTATAAGAGAAGTTTAAAAATAAACCACTTCTTTACAAAGAAATAAAAAAAGCACAATTCTGGAATTTGAAATATCTAATCCGATGTTTGACAAACATAAATTTTTAGTATCATAGGTGATTGCTTGCTCCACTTGGTGAATAATTGTATTGGCAACTGTTCTTTCTCCATTGGTCTTTCTAACAAATTAGATCTGTGTACCTTAAAATTTTTTCCTTCTATTGGAGATGAGATTATGAACTCTTTTCTGCATAACTATCTAAATAATTAAAAGACGCTTAGATAAAATCACTATTAATTTTGGTGATATTTAATAACTTAGAACTAGATCTAGAGGAGCAAAATTCCAAGATAATGGCAACAATAAATCTTAATAGTTTTGGACCACAAAAACTCAAATTTGCCAAACCACACCTGGAATTATTTTTTGGAAAAGAAGAATAAAAAAAAGGGGAAAGGTGTAACCACCGGTAGCGGCCTGCAGAAGAAGAAAAGAGGCTTTTAGGTTTTAGGTTTTGAAAAAAAGACAGGGGAAGAAATAAATGAAATAGGACTTATTTTGGTTGTTGTTCACCTTTCCTCTTTATTTTATTTATATTGAAAGTTTATGCATCTATAATTAATAAAGTAATTAAATCACTTATAAATTATATTAAAAATTAGATGCGTTTTCCACCTTCATGCGCAATTGTATAGTTAATAACTTATATTCTTGTTAATTGAAAAATATTAGTTTTATCCCTTACCATAATTTAGTTAAAATAATTTAAACATATATAAAATTTATTAAGTTCTTAAATTTTGAAAGAAATCTCTTATTCTTACCTTAGAATTAAAAGGAATTTTGAATTGTTAAAAAGAAAATAAGCTTGCTGTCCTCAAAAAAAAAAAAAAAAAAAGTTGCATAATTAAATACACATCAAGGCAAGGGTAAGAATTGAGAAAAATTGAGATTCACGAACTAAATGTTTTATTCAGTTTATTTTAATTTTTGTTTTTATTTTCAAGTAATTGAAATTTTGTTTTTTTCAAAATTTTTTAAAACTCATCCAAAATGTAATTCAAAAATAATTAAATTTCTTCAAAAATCCATAATTGAATTTTTAAAACTCATAGAAATGAAAGAAGTAATTATTATTTATAATTAAATAAATAATGAGAGACAAAAAAATGACTTAAAAAAAAAAAGAGAAATATTTAAAGAATTTATCATCAAGACCAAAAGCCCAAATTCTAAAATATTAAGTCTCACCTCTTCTTAAAAAAATGGCCACGTCAACTCATTGCAAAAATTTCATATTTTTCCGTCGTGCACGCGATGCGTGATTGTATAATATATTACCATATATAATATGATAATTTACCTTATTTAATTCAAACAAGGATATTTACATTCTTCATACCTTGTTACATGTGAATCATGATGTGGGTGTGTGCACATGAAACAGAGATTTACAAGTAATGAACTTTAATTTAGTTTGTATTATAATTATAATTAGTAATTATAATATAAATACTATTGGGTTTAAGATAAAAAAAAAAAAAAAAAAAAGCATCTTCTTGTAGATTTTATTACTTTTGATTACAGAATTAAATCAGGAGCAGTTCTCACTTAATTCACCATTTTTCTCCAAAAGTTAAGAAAGTTAAAAAGATAAAAGCTATCATAAAAAAAAAAAAAAAAAAGCATCTTCTTGTAGATTTTATTACTTTTGATACAGAATTAAATCAGCAGTTCTCACTAATTCACATTTTCTCCAAAAGTAAGAAAGTAAAAAGATAAAAGCTATCATAATGGCTGCTGCTGCAGCTTACAAGCTTTTTATTTGGAAATATTATTTTAGGATCTTCTGTCAGTCTTTTACCAGACCTCAAATGCAGCAAAATTTTCTGAAATTAAAATAATAAAAAGAAAAGGTAATTTTTCATACAAGAATGGAGCAACAATGAGAATACAAAAAACCAAGAAAACTTCTGCTTCGAAGACTCAAGAATTCAGGTGTAAAATTCTCTCTGCAAGCAACAAATCATCAGGGGTTGTGACCTGCCGATCATCCTTATTTCAGCAAATTGATTTGTGAATCAAATAGAACAATTAGCTTCAATATCATGGAGAAAAGAAAAGGTTCTATATTTCGTATATTGGGTTTCACTTGACTGTCTACGGCTTCCATTACATCTCATATTATGACATAAGTAAGCAGTTTTTGTATCGGCGAAAAATCTCATTAATATGGTTGAGAAAATTATGAAACCCTGTCTGATATACCAAAAATTGCATAAAATTTCATAGAATTCATTTGATTTCATTTTTTCATATTTGGTATGAATCAAAAAGCATTTTACTTGCACAGATTCAATTTTATGAAATTCAATATAAGTGAACCAAATTCTATCATTTATGATATATATTATATATTTCATTAGAGACATTCTGCAAGTATACTGGTACTGCACTATAATACCTCTCAGGCCAAGGTTCATGAATTAGACAGTTCAATTTACCTTGATGTTAGTGTAAGATCCTTCGGTGATGAACACGGGATGTTTAAGGTGCTCCACAATAGACACATCATCAGTCACTTCAAGACCACCTCTGTAGAGAAGAACAAAGTCAAAATTTATTTAGCATTTCAGAATTCACTAATAAGACAGGGAAAGAAAACCTTGGACAAACATAGTTTTTTATGAGCAATTTTTTTTTTTTCACAAAGCAATTCTATACACAAATTTTACAGCAATTAGGAGATAATAAAGCAGTTAGTATTTTTAGCAAATAGAATTAGGGTGCCATTGCTATTTGCAAGTAGCATATTTTGAGCCAAAATTAAGAGTAATATTTTTGGTCCAGTGGATATAATTACTTTCAAATAGAACTTTCTATTGGCCAAAAGCTGATTTAGGGAAAGCTTCAAATCCAAGTTCTTCCCAAAATTTGAAAATTTTTCCAAAATCAGTTTTGGGTTTAGTTAATTAAAAAAAAAAAAAAAAAATCCATTGCAAGTAGCTAGATCTATTGGACCTATAAAATTACTTCTAATTTTGACCTAAAATCTGTTACTCACAATAGCAATGTGCTTAGGCAGTTGGTACTTTCAGTAAATAGAACTGTATGGTTTGCTCATCACTGATTGAGCTAAGGCCATACTTCTACCATCAAAGATGACAAATCCCATCTTAAAATGAACTCTATGATCATCAACTATAGTCTATACATACCATGTGTTCATGCATGCAGAGATAAAAGCACGACTACACTAATCAACTAATCCATGTAATTATGTCTATTTGTCACAGACCAAAATCTCTAGCAGTAATATATATAAAACCCTCCTAATATAGATTTTTTTTTTCTTTCTCTAAGAGAATTTTGGAACGTAAGCATAGAACACAGTATTTTTGTCAGATCATAGAATATATTCAAACTTCAGAAAATGTGCTACTAGTAAAAGACCTCTGAATTATTGATGCACTATCAACATACTCTGAGAAAATAGTTCCAGAATATTGCTTATTGGAAATATCTATATCACACAAAATGATAAAAGCATAAAATACCTATTCACAAGCTCAAAGCCTTTTCTAAGCAACTCGGGCTTCATCACCTGTATAACAAGCAATCTACATAAAGAGCAAGTATTTAAATTCCTTTTGATAATGTCCAATTCTACTTATACTAAACCTGTGGAGTTTGCATTTCCCAGAGTGTTTTGCGATCAAGAGTTCTCACTACAAAAGAATCAGTATTTGCCTGCACATAGATAGGAAACAGATTATAAAATCAATTAAGTGAAAGAATTTCTAGTAGGATTGAATTAACGGCATGCCTAGTTTAAGGAAACGAAATAAAATAAGCTCAATCTATCAATTTAAGCATTGAAAGTATAGTGACAAAATGTAGGCAACAATCAATGACAATAATATTATTTCTTTATACTAAAGTTACTAACTTATCTAGAGAGCTTAATGCTATCAAAAAATTGAAAACCCAATGATACAAAGAAATTAGGAACAATTCACATACAGAATGGAAAAAGAAAGGCCTATAAGGGGATAAAAAAAAGAAAAGACAACGCTTCTCAGCTACTGTGCAAATAATGGAAGGCAACAAATCCAATCTTGGTACTTTAGTATGGTCATGCATTATGCTAGTTGTTATTAGTTGCTTTCTTAAGGTTAATCAATTTAATAGCGAGATTTTCTAGAACATTTTCCAATCAACGACACTAAGCAACATAATAAAAAAAATGTACATTTATTACTAGGGAAGGAGTAACTAGTCTATAAATCATATTCTATTTTAAGTCTCCAAACTCTTCCTTGGATAAGGCCACTACAGCACTTATATCACAATGAGGAACGGCCTTTACAGCCAATCCTGCTAATTCAGCCCCAGTTTGATGTGATATCTAATTACCAGTGTCATAACAGGGAATATTGTATCAGTAAGCCCAAATTCTGATCTATAATGGCTGAAACATATCAACCACATGTAAAATTATGTTTTCCATGCCAGTTGACCAATAATATTGAACAGTGTATCAGATGACACTTTTACCCCAATCAAGCATTCACAATTTTCTGTTTTGTACAGGGTAACCAACAACCAAGGTATTAACCAAACGTCTACATCACTTTTTATACAAGGTGACTAAGTCATAGTATCGAAAACTCAACATTAGACAATGCCAATTTGATTGGTTCCTCATTCTGTGACAAAACTTGTGCAAAGGCTAGAGTTCTAATATTGAATTGATACTAACAGGCAAATAACCATTGAAAAATCAAATGGTTATCTGAAACAGCCAAACAGGTTTGGGTCACAATTAGGACTGGAGGTTCATCCATGAGGAGGAAACCACAATACATTGCTTTTCTTTGAATTTTGTTTTGATTAAGTCTTAATGTCTTAATTTAAATTTAAATTATTTTATTATTTTGGACATGATGACAAATCACTAAATGAATCATCAAAATGTCTTCGGTTGTGCCACTGCTTCCATGCTAGCAGCATTAGTTACAAATTTAAAATGAATAGATCTGCATGTCCATTCTAGAGACCATAACACCAGATTATATGTAACTATTCAAAGCCATTTGATGCCAGGGACAGTTTTTCCATCTTGTACAAATACAAAAAAAAAAGAAAAGAAAAGAATAAGATAATATTCAATATTGAAGAATGTCAACGTCTAGTGATTTATATATACCTCCTTGATTGTGGCTTTGACAGGAACACCAAGAACAGCTGCTCCATTTATCCAAGCATCTTTGAGGACCTAGTGACAAGTGATGGCCTTTTGATTTGGTAAGTCAAATCAAGAATGAAATAAAAAGTATAGAAAAAGAAAAAGGTGGGAAAAAAGAGACAAAGCTTCATACAAAATCAGGATAAGTATACTATTTAAATTATGGATTATACGATGAATTTGAAGCCCATAAAGTTTCATTTGTATTTAAATAACAAAGTAAATATCATTTGCTCCATCGCACAAAACCTCCTCTTATATCTTCCAGACACAATGGGGATGTACTGTTCAAACCAATATTATTCTCTCTTTTTCTAATTTTAACTTGCTTTCATAAAAGAAATCAAAAAAAAAAAAAAAAAAAAATCCTTTAACTTGCTTTCATAAAAGAAATCAAAAAAAAAAAAAAAAAAATCCTTCATCCGCCTTGAAATCTAGTGCTCGATCCAAAACCTAAATGTTTCGAACAACTCTTCGTTTATGCACGCACGCTCTTAAGCTTTAAAACCTACGCACAACGCCCAATGAATCAAGAGATGTATAAGTAAGAAAAAAAAAAAAAAAAAAAAAAAATCCTTCATCGCTTGAAATCTAGTGCTGCATAAAATAACCATCTGTTTGAAAACTTTGTTGTATGAGCAGTTAAGTTCTAGAAATAGCAGAAGCCAATGAACAAGAGATGTATAAGTAAGAAAAGAATCTTATTCAAACCTTTTCTACATCTGCAGATGTCACCAATGGCCTTGCTGAGTCATGGACACAAACAAGCTCAGAGTTCAAATCAATTGCCTGCAAAGGGAATGTAATGATTAAAGAACAAACATTTTCCAACACCAACACTGACCAGTCAGAAAGCTAGTTAATTAGGAATTCTTTTTATTTATTAATAGTCTTATTTTTTTACCCAATGTTCATAGTAATTAATTAACTATTATGAAAACATTTAATACAATCCAAAAATTCTAGCATTCAAGGACCATTTTTTGTCATCAAAATTATTATAGATAAAGCCCTCTTTTTCACTTTTTCATTATGTTTCATAAATGAATTGTTTAAGGGGACTTTTATCGCTGATCTGCAGAGACATTGGAGACCTTGTCTGTTGTAGCATAGGCTTTCTTGTTTGTATTTATATTATTGCTTCCAGAAGAATTTCTTATCCTCCTTTTCTGTAATTTTCTTCCAAGGACTTCTCTATATATACCTTTTTTTTTCCCCCTTGTTAACTAAATCTTTTTTTTCTCTTTTTTAATCACAGAAGAAAGAAGACCAAAATAAAAGCCAACTTGCCCTTAAGGTGTCAAGACCCAAAATTTCCCACGGCAACACAGACACTAAAGTATGATAAATTGCTAATTCAAAAGAAAAAATTTTACTTTAGACTAAAACGAGTAATCAAAGACGTAAATCACTGGCATCATCATAATTTCAACATTTTCACTCATCCAATAAGTTACATATGACCATAATGTGCCGTGATTAACGAAAGAATAGAACACACATCAAATATTGAAAGCAAAAGAACTTAGAAAGCCATACATAAGTAATCTGCTCAGGTTTTCAGCACGAAACTTCCTACGATGCAGCCTACTCTTCTAACTTTCCTTTATTATCTTCCTTTACTTTTTATTTGCAAATGCTAAATGCCTTTGCCCCAACAGCAGTTGAGGAAGGAGACTATGTTGAACATTTTACAATTGACATCTTATACTTGCCAGATTCACCTCTTACATCAATAATTTAGAAGTGATTTTTAGTAAGTAAGAAAAAGCAAGCTTAAGAAGGAAACAATAAGAAAAAGGAAAAGCATGTTATGACAAAGGAGATAGAGCCTATGGTAGAATTCACCTGAAGGCCACTGTATACAGAATCTTGTCTCTCCTTCCCAGGCAGCGCAAATTTGAGGTCCACATTGATACTTTCTCTGGCACCTGATAAGATCATAAAGCGGTTTAAACTCTTTATGTTAAAAAGGTTTAAGATAAACCAAAGCAGAATGCATGCAATGTAAAAGAACCCAACACATAACCAAAAGCATAGATGCATATGCATGCCAGTATGTGTGCAAACACATGCATGTGCACAAAGAGAGATACCAAACCTTCAAAAATATCTTGATAGGATGGATCACAGACTACAACAATCTCTTTTACTGCAGCCATTTTTGAGAATGTGTAGAAACTGCCAAAATAATGGAAATAATTTCAGAAGCAATACTGTTGTTTAAGCGCTAAAATTATACTTAAGAAGCCCATCTATGCAACCTTTCCACTGAAAACTATACAGACATGAAAATGGTCAAAATGTTGCAGTTGGCAGATTATTGAATATCCATTCACCTATCAGATTAACAATAAATAGTGCCAACAAGGAAACTTTGAACGTTATACCGAACTGCTCATAGCAACAGCTTGGCATGTCACAAAATCTGTCAGTTCTTAATGAAACAACCTACAAATTGTGTTCATTTTTTGATGCACTCAGGAATCATATTTCAATTGATTCATCTAACTTTTAGTCAAACTGTAAGGGGCATCATAAATCTATACATCCTATTCTTATAGATTATAAAAATATATATTTTTTTCCTACAGCTGCAAAACTTTAAATTAATTTTTTTCAAAATGGAGCTTTCCCAGTAACCGTTGTCATTTACCTGTACAAAGCAATTGGCTGGCCTAAAAGCGGTAGATACTGCTTTGGCATGTTTGCCTATTTGCACAAAGATAATAAAACTGTCATCTGGAAGATGAAAATAAGTAACTATAGATAATGAAGAATATGCAATTTGTTTTATGAGGACAAATGTGCACATGCATGTATACTAAGACCATTGTTGACATAATCACATAAAGACATGCACCTAAAATTGACAAAAGTACAAAATAGCAGTTTCCTTTGGAAAACAACAGTTAAGCAATGAAATGCATAGTCTTGAAGCCACAGGTCATTAAAAAGCTTAAAAAGGAAAATCAATTATCTAGTCTTAGAATACAACTAACAAAAATTTGTGCAAAACACTGTTCCTTATATCTTTCAGATTCATCACTCACCAATCAAATTAGTCATTCAAAATCCTAAATCTCAATCTGACGTATTCCTGAGATATTCCGGCATCATATAGCCATTATTCTTACCTAACATACATATTCTACTCCAATTCAACTCAGAGACACTCAAGTTTTTTCTTCCCTAAATCAGAATCCAACATATAAGCAATTAATGCAGATTCATCGCATATCCCACATCATAAGTGCATTAATTTTAGAGCAGCCATCAAAATTGAATCATTGCATTCTGTTTTACATAGCAATTAAAGGAACAATTATTGGTGTAAATGTGAATACAATTTAAACACACAAAAAGGAAATGCAAGCAAAAACATCCTAAGATGCCATTGTTTAAAACAAGAACTAAGAGTAATAACAAAGCAACATACACCCATTCTTTTTCCCTTCCCTCCAGCCAACAGAATGACCGAAGCACTCTTCTCTTTCACGGTTTCAGAGCTCTGAAGACCAAAGATAACGATTACAAACAATTGTCAGATTTGAAACAATTAGGCTAGCAAAAACCAAAATAATATATACTATTACTACAAGGATGTTAGTTGACTACTAAATACTTAATTTTTCAGTCTTGGCAGAGCATTTGATGGTGGTAGTTGCAATTCTGGGAAACTTTTGGATACAAGAAAATTTATGGCCTGAAAAAAAAAATGCAAAACCCAGATTAGAAAAAGCATAACTAAATCACAGTAAAAACAAGATCACTAATTTATCACATAAAAAGGGAAGCTTTTGACTTGCCCGAGGATTTCGAGTATGCAGCTGGTAAGAGAAAAGAATTGGCGGGAATTTGATGATTATTGCACGGAAACAATGAATTAGAATAAGATTTAAAAGAAGGAGAAGGAAGAGTAGAAAGGTTCATGTGAAGAAGATGACCCATCTCTCTATCACTCGTCTTCTCTTCTCTGTTCCCTCCTTTCTTTTTCTCTCTAGTGAGCGAGAGAACAAGAAACGAGTACAGACAAAAACCTCCAGCAGCATGTGTGTGACTGCTGAATAAGTGGTGTTATTGTTAATCCATTTTCCATGCCGTTTTGTTTTTTTTTTTTTTTTTTAAATTTTGAATTTATTGAAGTCTTGGTTGTCGTCTAAAAATATTCAAATATTTTATTATTATTTTATAACATAAAAAACAAATGGGTCAACATTAGACATCGGAAGATTTGAACCTCCAAAACCCATTATGCCAAAAGGATCTTTCAGAAGAATAACCTTTTTTCATGGTAAATTATAAATTATAATTGGATGCCTAAATTATATTTAAATTAATCTTTAAATTTTTTTATATTTAAAAAATAAGCATGACATTCTTAATTTATGTTTATTCTAATTTTGAATCATTCTATTTCAAAAGTGAATTATTTTCATTTAAAAAAAAAAACATATTCGGTCAAAAAATGAGTGTAATTATTTTTTTTTCGGAAGGATTTAATAGTGAGATAAAAATATAAATTAGAGACGTCATAATCACTTTTTAAATGTAAAGAGATTTAAGTATTAATCTGAGTATAATTTTTAAAATATAATTTAAAAATTCAATTATATTTTATTTTTTAAAAAATAAAGGAAGTAAAGGGGTTGTTTTTTATACTCTAATTAAGTCAATATTGTAGCAATTTCGTCCATTGAGGGTCAACACTATTTAGTCAAAATTAGACAAATAGATTCAAATATTCTTTATTTTTTCAGTTTGATTTAATTTTAAGTGTGCTAAATTTGATTAGTTTATAATTTTTTATTCGGTTTTAATAATTTACTCATATTTGAAGAACTATATTATTATTATTATATTATTATTATTGCTAAAAAACATTAAAATTAAAATTAAAATTAAATTAATTCTGAATTTAAAATGAATAAAACGAGTTAACTCCAAACTGAATCGCGGATTGAAACGACAACAGATATCTCGACTTAATAAGAGAGAAGAGGCTTTCGGCCCATTTCTCTACTGTCTAAGCAAACCTTACAATATCAAACAACAGCCCAAACAAGAAAAGACCTCAAAAGAGGAACAGCATAGCCATTTCTCTGGTTCTGTGAGAAGCAAACACAGCTTGTGGAACGAGAAAGAGAACGATTTGGACTGTTAGCAAAAAATGGGGAAACCATTGGGGACAACGGGAGAGTTCTTTAAGCGAAGGGACGAATGGAGGAAGCATCCGATGCTCACCAATCAGTTCCGCCACGCAACTCCTGGTCTTGGCATCGCCATTGTCGCCTTCGGCATCTACCTTGTTGGAGAACAAGTCTACAATAAGCTTTATGCTCTTTCGCCTACCCACCACGCCTCTTCGTCTTCTCACTCTCACTGATTTTTATCCATCAGTGTTATTTTGCGCTTTTCAGGTTAGTTTATTTCAGATTTTTCAATTACTTTATATTTGTTTAAATTTAAATTTAAATTGGGTAGATCTGTTTTTGTTTTGATACTTTAGAACTAGGTAATTATGCTTGTTTTATGATGGGTTTTTTGATTGTATTAGAAATTGGAGCTAGTTATCAACTGTTCCTTCTTGTTTTTCCACTTGGTTATGGTGATTTGTCCTCCCCCCCGCCCCCGATGGGTTTTTTTGATTGTATTAGAATTGGAGCTAGTTAATCAACTGTTTCCCTTCCCTGTTTTCCACTTGGTTTATGGATTTGTCTCCCCCCGCCCCCCCCCCCCCCCCGCGGGGATGGCTTTTATAATTCCTAATCATTATCCCCCCCCCCCCCCCCCCCCCCCCGGGGGGATGCTTTATAATTCTAATCATTATCATTCATTTTGGTGTATTGGCAACTAAATAGGAGCTCCTTTGAAATGGGTTACTGTCAAATTTACCAATTTGTGCAGTGTAAGGGTTGGATAGGTTCTATGGTTGACTGTTTTGGTTTGGTGAAATGGGTATGTTTTGCCTGTATGTTATTTGATATTTCTACAATTTTTTTCCTGATAGTTGTCTGCTCTAAAATTTGAATTCTCTCTTTCTTTCCTCTGAAATAATTTGGTCTTTTTCTTGATTTCTGGTCTATCTTTTTCCTCTCCCCACCCTCACCCGTGTTTATATGATCAGTTATTACTTATCTCAGGCTGTGATGGGTTTACTGCTTGGTGTGGGAATTACACATCTGAGTTTTAAGTTTTCCAAAATATGAGATTTTAGTTTTATTAACATGGGTATTCTCCGCAAGTCTCCTTGTTTTTTCTTTTCTTTAATTCTTATCTAATCCCTCCTATCATATCGTCATGTGAATCTGAATTGTGTGTTAAAGTTTAAAATTTTTTAATCTTGTGTATTTTCATGGGATTTTGACTTGGATATAGGAGATGAAATTTCAGGTTAAATCAGTAACCACTAGTTCAATCTTTTTGCCTTCCAAGTTTGACTTATCTTGCCAAATGTGTTTACACAATGTATGGTTTAAAAGCTAGTTCATGGTTTTTTTATCCTTTGCTCCTCTTTTTTTGTGATCAATGTTATAATCAGAAGGGACCGATTCAGGTTTCTTGTTTCTTAACCATGCATTAGATTTTATTGTGGCTTATGAAAATCTTTATTTGAAAACTATACTTTGTAATATTGAACTAAGACTTGAGTTCAAATTCTTTTGACCAATGTGGAGTTTCGTTGGTAGATGTGGGAAAAAAAAGTGGCAGATGGATTAATGTACCACTTATTCTTGTTCCATAAAGTTTCTGCCTGTAGAAACATGTTTGATTGGCAAAAGTTCGAATTCCAACTTCCAAGTCCATATTGTTGATATCTGTGGTAAATGGTTATATGTTTGTCAATAAAATGATAAGCTTGTTCTTCTGCAACATGAATTTGTTAGCATAATATGTAACTTAGAGTTACAATTAAGTTATAACAATTTTTACAATAAATTGATTCTAATCAAGGAATATATGATTTGAGTTATTTTACAGCTTAATTAAATAGGATTATCATTTGGTGGCCAGTGGTCTGCATGTTTTGCACTCAATTATACGCGTTATAGTATAAAAGTGCTTGTACCATCTTATTATGGTAATGTTGCAAAATCCCTTGCTAGACCAAGCTGTACCGTGTTGGGAGCATAGTGAGCTATTTGCTTAAGAGATTGGTAATATTAATAGCTAAAATTGAACCTTTTTTATGCACTTGGATGGGAACGTTTTCTGATATGTGAATTGACTAGCTCATGCACCAGATTTAATATGATCAGAAACCTCTCTACATCATTCTAGCCTTGTTAAATGTTATAGTTATATCTAAATTTTACTGTTCTGATGATTGATTGATCATGCAGATGGACAACTGGTGGAATGTTCAAGCTTGGACTCTCCATTATACTTGCCTTCATAGTAACTTGGATCAATAAGTTCTCATGTGAAATTGAGACTTTTAACTCTTATAGTTTCTTTGGTGTGTTTGGATATGGGACATGCATTTGAGATGTTTTATAAAATGTTTTAGGTTGCTCTCTGGTCTGTTGGAACCCCTGAAAATGCTACTTAATGCTTTAGATTTATGTGGCCTGATAATAGTTGATCCTTTTTTTTTTTTTTTTAATTGCAATTATTTTTTCATTAGTCATTTTAAGCTGAATTTAATTCACAGCAGAAACACATTTGGGTTTTAACATATCTACAAGCTTTAGTACTGTGACTAAAATGGGGTTACGTTGGATTCTCATATTTATTTATTGACCTGAACCTGAAACAGCATCAAAATTTTAGGTCGGATTGATTTTTTTTTCTTTTTTTAATTTAGTGGGGTCTAAGGGGCCGAAATAATACTATGGGCTACACAATAGGGGTAGCCCTTTCATTTCTCATCAAATTGGTGAAAAGAACTATTGTCGAGAGGACTCGAACTCGAGAACTTCGCGGCTTCACCATACTCTTTATCCATTTTATCTTTCATTTTTTTAAATTTAAGTAAGACTTTCAAGTTCTTAGTTCTAAATCTAATTAGAACTACAAATTAAAAAAAAATGTAAAATATAACAACAAATTAAAACTCAATTTATTTTCATGAACAATTCCAGACACTTTTACTTTCAATTCGAAAGCTCGTAAGTAAATCAAGTGTTTGGGGTCATGATTTCCTAAATTCTTTAAAATTCAATTGTTTTCCTTGATTTTTATTCATATTTTCTAATATATATATAATCATCCTCCAAAATTTAAATTCAACTATATTTTTTTGTGTTTAGCCTTCTAATATTTAAAGTATAGTTCCTTCCATAAGTAGTTCAAAATTGAAATTTAGCATGATTATTTATAATGTATTTATGAATAATATAATTTTTGGTACTTTGTTAAGAAACAATTATTCAATAAACATGTGTAAGAATAAATTTCAAACTCATAAAATCAATAGTAACTCATATTTAGATAAATTCTAATTGTTAAATGAAAATAAAAGTAACATCATTTGGTTTTTATTAATTGGTCAAATTCATGAATAACTTTGAGTTGATTTGAAAACTTACGCGGCATTCGGCAAAATTAGTTATTTTATGTTATCTTTGACTTTTATTTTGACACATAATATTTTAACTTATAAAATTATATCTATTAAATATTTATTAAATGATTCAAAAATATGAAAATTATTGTACTAAAAATTATGCTAACCATAAATATTTTATATATAAGAGTCTAACTCTAAAAATAATTGTTGTTAGTATAGAAATGTGTGTAATATTATTAAAATTCATAATTTTAAGAGTACAATTGATTTCTTTATGTATTTACCATTTTTAATATAAAAAACTATATTTATTTATATATTTATATTAATATGTCTATTTTTATGATAAAAAACTACCCTATCATCTTTATTTTTTTTGTTTCTAATTATTTAATTTAAACAAAAAAAAATTATAGTTAATATTAATGATGATCATTACACTTTAATACGAGTTTATTGGATTGGACTTGGTGACAATTGGGCTTGTTATATATCCATTTCAAACCCTAACCCGACCCAATTAGCGCATCTTCCAGTCTCTAGTCTCCTCCTTCCCAAAAACCCTCAAAACCCTAACCCTATAAATTTTCATTTCCAGCTTTAAACCCTTTTGCTCCGATAGCCTCCTTCAAACCCACAAAAACCCTAAAAAGCACAAAACTTTCTTGTTCAGAGTCAGATAAACGCCATGTCTGACGTTGAAATTTCTCGCTCAGAGAAGAAAAAACACAAGAAAAAGAGCACCACTCAAGTAGAAGAACCCGACAAACACTCAAATGATGCCGCCGCCGATAACACCGGAGACTTCATGATTAAACCCCAGAGCTTCACGCCGGCAATCGACACTTCTCAATGGCCAATCCTCTTGAAAAACTACGATCGCCTTAATGTCCGTACAGGTCATTACACTCCACTTCCTTCTGGTTATTCTCCTCTAAAGCGTCCTTTAGCAGAGTACATTCGTTATGGAGTTATTAATCTTGATAAGCCAGCAAACCCATCTTCTCATGAAGTTGTTGCGTGGATTAAAAGGATTTTGAGAGTGGAGAAAACAGGGCATAGCGGCACACTAGACCCTAAAGTTACAGGTAATTTGATTGTTTGTATTGATAGAGCTACTCGTCTTGTTAAATCTCAACAAGGAGCTGGTAAAGAATATGTTTGTATAGCAAGATTGCATGACAAGGTTCCTGATGTTGCTAAAGTAGCTAGAGCACTTGAAACATTAACTGGTGCAGTTTTTCAAAGGCCGCCACTTATTTCTGCTGTTAAAAGGCAGCTTAGGATTAGAACTATATATGAAAGTAAGTTATTGGAGTACGACCCAGATAGGCATTTGGTTGTTTTTTGGATTTCTTGTGAGGCTGGAACTTATGTTAGGACTATGTGCGTGCATTTGGGTTTAATTCTTGGTGTTGGTGGGCATATGCAGGAGTTGAGGAGAGTTAGGTCTGGGATTTTGGGAGAGAGAGATAATATGGTTACTATGCATGATGTTATGGATGCTCAATGGGTTTATGATAATTATAGAGATGAGAGTTACTTGAGGAGAGTTATTATGCCACTTGAAGTGCTTTTGACTAGTTACAAGAGATTGGTGGTGAAAGATTCTGCTGTTAATGCTATTTGTTATGGTGCCAAGCTGATGATTCCCGGTTTGTTGAGGTTTGAGAATGACATCGAGGTTGGTGAGGAAGTTGTTCTAATGACTACAAAGGGTGAGGCAATTGCTTTGGGAATTGCAGAGATGACTACTGCTGTTATGGCTACTTGTGATCATGGTGTTGTGGCTAAGATCAAGAGGGTTGTGATGGATCGAGATACTTACCCAAGGAAATGGGGTTTGGGACCGAGGGCTTCGATGAAGAAGAAGTTGATTTCCGAGGGGAAATTGGATAAGCATGGCAAGCCAAATGATAGTACCCCTCAAGAGTGGATGAGGAATTTGGTTTTGCCTACTGGAGGAGATTCTATAGTTGCTAGCCTTGCAGCTGCAAATGAGCCAGCAAAGGATGTTGCCGCAGAGAAGAAAGAGAGTGTAGAAGTGGAGATGGAGAAGGAGAAGAAAAAGAAGAAGAAGAGCAAGGATGGTGAAGATGGGGAAGGGCGCAAGCGCAAGCTGGATGAAGGCACTGACAGTCCAGGTGTTCAAGTTCCCGCTAAGAAAGTTAAAGTTGAACAAGTTGAAGAGAAAGAGGCAGTTGAGTTGAAGAAGGTTAAGGGAGATGCTGTTCAGGAGAGCAAAGATGAGAAGAAAGAGAAAAAGAAGAAGAAAAAGAAGAGTAAAGAAGCCGGTGATGCAGAAGCTTTAGGGGAAAGAGATACTGAGAAGGTGAAGCAAAAGGAACAGAATGATACAGGTGAAGCTGTATTATCTGATGCAGAAAAGACCGAGAAGAAAAAGAAGAAGAAGAAAGACAAAGAAGCTGAGGAGGCAGCAATAGTTGATGATGGAAGAACTAATGGTGAGGCAGATAGAAGTGAGAAGAAGAAGAAGAAGAAAAAGAAGGATAAAGATGCAGAAGAAGTGTAGAACTTAATTCAGAGCATTTTTGTTTTGAGTGGTAATTTCTAAATGTGTGCTTTTTATGTTGTCTGCAATTATTAGCAGTTTTTGTAATCTTTTAATGCAGTTTTCGCAGAATTAATCTCCATGGCGACTTTGTTCTGTTCAATAGATAGTTTCTTTGCTTGCAATCCTTTTTTTTTATTATTTGTTTTATTCTCTATCATAAGGTTTGTCGTCAACATTGGTCATCTTTTCTTTCTTGTTTCTGTTTCCTCCGAAAATATACTAACTACTTAATTTTATTTTAAAAATGTTTTTTACATCCACAGATTTTGTTTTCTAAACAACCATGGAAGTGTTTCATTTTCTTAAGAAATAGAGTCTCTCGATTAATTTTTTAACAATAGAATTCCTATATATAGTATATTTAAAATTCATAATTAAGATGCTAAAACTAATTAAAATTCTTAATTTAAAATTAGCTAAAAAATAAAATAAAAATTATTATTTTTAAGAAGTTTGAATTTGATTTAATAAACATAAATCAATAATTTCAATTTAAATTACTTATACTCTATTCAAATTCAGTCTATAATAATTGTATAAAGAAGAACAATGAAATAATAATAATTAGGTAATATTAATTATACTTTTTATTTGCTTAGTTTAATAAAAAAATTTGTATTTCTTATTTACACACAAAATCATCTTCCTTTAGTTTGAAATCTACAAATAAAAACCTTTTAATGATTTGATGAATGCTTAGCTTGTTTTTATTTTTGCAACTCTATAATAAAAACCTACAAATAATATTTTTAATACCAATTTATTATTTAGAAATAATCTAAATTTATGGAGTTAATATGTTATAATAATATTGTAATATTATTGAGGTATAATAGTATTATGTTGTCTTTACCGGACTCATTATCGAGTTTGTTTATGATACGAATATAAACGTGTCGTGTCGCGAGTTGACACGCGAGTTAGGTGAGTGACCCATTTATTTAAGAGGAAAGAATTAATTTTAGTATTAGATATAACTACTTTAACTAAAACCTATTTAAATTTTATTGTTGTATTATTATTTTTATTTTAGTTATGAATCTTGAAGAATTTATAGATTTTATGTATGCGAATTTATTTTTAAATATGATTGAAATTAAATAGGTTAAAATTTAAAAATATTATGAGTATATTAAGTGGGTCTTATACAGGTCAACACGACCCACTTAACATGTTATGATATTAAGTGGGTTATACGGGTTGCATATGGGTTGTTACATGTTTATGATATTAAGCGGATTATATGGGTTGCATATGATCAATACAATTCACTTAACTTGTTTGTGATATTAGACGAGTTAAACGCGTTGTGTTCGTGTTACCTACCTAATTTTTGTGTCTTGTTTGTGTCGATAAATTTAATATAATTATTAAATTGGTCGTGTTTGTGTTGATTCTAATCGTGTCGCGTGTTAGGCGAATTCGTGTCAAACCTAAAATGCCAACCCATTTTGACACACTTAAATCATACTATGCATGACTTTTGCTATTGCATATTCTGGCAAAAGATTTCACATGATACTTAAGAAACACAGCTTAGCATTGTAAATTTTTTTTAGTATATCTCAACGAAATACAATTTTATAATGCATTTACGATCATTTTATTATATAATTTTATTATTTTTGAATGATGTTATAAAAGATTATTTTATACTTTAATATTGATCCGTGTATCGGACGAGTTCTAACATTAGTAACTTTTATACGTACACATTTTTGTTATTTAGGAAATGAAAATAATGATAAGGCCGTAATTGTTTAAAAGAAAAAAAAATTTGTTCAAGTATCATACAATATAACTTTTGTTATATACAATATTTTCCAGGAACATTTGTATAATGTGACTTTTGTTATTTACTTATAAATAAACCAATGTAACATATATCTAGTTATTTTTGATTTAGTATTTGTTATATTTAATTTTATATTTGTTCAAGTTACAAATTAGGCGTCCATAGCTTCGACTTTCATCCATAATATTTATTATATTTGATTAAATATTCGTTAATACATAAAAAATAATTTCTTAATTAGGATTTAAGTACAAAATCGATAAAATTTCACTTTTAAAAAAATAATTTATTTGAATAATTTTATAAGTGGTATTAATAATTTCATATTAATTGATTATAGTAGTATTAATATCAAATAAAATATTATATAAGCATGAGGATAGCTAAAATAACTAAACACAGAGTTATAATAATAAAAAACCCAAACAATGAACCATAGAGAAAGCCCATTGCGCTTCAAAACCAAGCCGAACCTAGATAATTGTAGAGAAATCAAGAAAACCAATCAAAAAACATTCCAAATCAACTAAAACCGGCTGCGAACCACGGGAGCTAGAAATATCTGTTAACCAGACCGAAAATCAGTATCGTGGGAGGTTAATTGAATCAAACCGCAAAGGTCAATTTATAAACATAAAAATGTTTATAAATTTATAAACATGGATTGTATATTCAGAAATTTTATTTTTTCTAGAAAATATTACCATTTTTCTGTGAGATTCGAGTAACTAAATGCACCTTAATATTATTATCAAACAATGTTTTACTAAAAAATTTTTTTAAGAAAAAAACAATGTTTTATTAAAAATTGAAAAGAACTTATTAGCGCATCAAATCAAACTAAATATTCGATTATTTGGATGGCTGGATGGCAAAAGTATGCGAAAAACGCTGCGTTTTAATCAGTTTTCCTTCTACCAGATTCTAATATATGGCAAGCTGGCAACGGAACCACGCGGGGAAATTTTTAGAATCCCGGTTAAACTTTCTCGAGAAAATTGAAAGGAAAGAACAAAGAATTGAGAAGCAGATGCTGAAAAAGAAGAATTTCAGGAAGAGAACTTTTGAGGAAGAAGACGGCCAGAACAACAAAAACAACGCATCAGATGACGAAGAAGAGAGGAGGTAATTGTAAATTTAGAATTACAATTACAATTAGGGTTTTGGTTATGCATTTGGGCTTTAATTAATGGGAGTGAGAATTGGGATTGTAGATTGGCACTAGAAGAAGTGAAATTCCTACAGAAACAGAGGGAAAGGAAATCAGGAATCCCTGCAATTCCATCGGTGCAAAGTGGGAATTTAGTTCCCAAGAAAGTAATTGAAAAGAACGATGGAGACGGAGAGAAAGAAGAGCTTGTTCTTCAAGATACTTTCGCTCAGGAAACTGCCGTTATGGTTGAAGATCCCAACATGTAAGTTCTTTTTTAACTTCTATTATCTATATAATTATTTGCTCTTTTAATTAACGTATGGTTAAGGCTTTTAATCTGAATTTATGGTATGCATAGTTTCTGTTTTTTGGTTCCTAAAAGAATTTGTATAATATCCCATCTTCATGTTTGGTGACCATTTCTGCTTATTGTTCTAGAAAGATGCTGACTTCAATTAATAAATAGAAACTGTTCTTACATGCCTTCGATTATAGTTGCTTACATTTTTGTCGGATTAACTGAGTGACAGTTCAGAAACGTGGTACTTTATGTTTCCTAATAAATAGATAATTGTTATGAAAATTTATGAAGGCTCTTATGATTTGATTGATGAATTATTTTATGAGATTTTTGTGTTAACACCTGATACTTGTGGTTATGTTGTAGGTTGAATTATGTTGAGCAAGAATTGGCAAAGAAAAGAGGCAAGAACATTGATGCAACAAATCAAGTTGAAAATGACTTAAAGCGAGCTGAAGACGAACTGTACCAAATTCCTGAGCATCTTAAAGTAAGTTGTTAGGTCCTAGGGTCCATCACCTTTCTTATGCATATGTTGCTTCACTTTCATGTCAGTGACATATCATTTGCTTTTACATAAATTCGTGTGTGATCATCTGTATATGAAAACAAGTTACAAACATACCCATGTTGGACATAGGTACTAACTGGACACACTAGTTCATGAGCCAAGCAACACTGTTAGTTTGAGCATCTTGGTTGAGAATGACATTTGTATAAAATGAAGTGCAAGCATTTTTGGTTTTTAACTCAAGACTAAGAGCTTTACACCATCTAGTTGATAACCACATATTTTATGCAGTTTATACAAACCTGACTGTTTGGGATTAAGGTTGTTATTATTAGACTAGCCTGCCCATCTGATTCCATTCCAAAATTGTGTATATTTTACCGCTTTTGTTTGTAAGTAATTGGAAATGTGACAAATTTTTTGCATGGGACCTGGTTCTTTCACATCCTTTAAGACATTTTATAAGCCTCTACCTCTTTTTTCTCTTTGTTTTCCTTAACTATTAAATTCTGCCAGTTGATAGATTATCAGTTGCTGAAGATATATGCTACTATTTTTTTTTTTTTTTTCCTTTTCATGTGGGTATTTTTCTTGCGATTTTTCCTTCAACTTGTTATTTTTTCCTCACAGGTGAAAAGAAGAAATTCGGAAGAAAGCTCTACTCAGTGGACTACTGGAATTGCGGAGGTTCAGCTGCCCATTGAGTATGCCCTTTTTTTCTTTCCTTTTATTTGTTTAAGAATTATGATTTATATTGTGGTTTGTATGTTTTGTTGTTGTACTCAATTTTCTGAAAGAAAGTTGAAATTGGAGCATCAGCTTTCAAGGCTGATATTGAATTTGCTGGTTGTTTTAACAATGCTGTTGGAAAATGATTTAACGTGATTTGAGAAGGTTTTGAAGTAACCTTTTGGTTTTCATGGACTTCCAAGTAATTATTTCATGGGTGCAGATACAAACTGAGAAATATTGAGGAAACAGAGGCTGCTAAAAAACTTCTACAGGAGAAACGGCTAATGGGCCGGGCGAAATCAGAATTTAGCATCCCATCAAGTTATAGTGCAGATTATTTTCAACGTGGTAGGGATTATGCTGAGAAACTTCGAAGAGGTTGGTTACAGATTCTTTCATCTTGCCTTTTAACTGCGTCAGTAGATTTGATTCTTTATTTTTAATTCATCCTTTTCCGGAAATCGAAATAATCTGGTTAGTCTGGATTCTGCTCTTCTAATTCAAGTGTCTGTCTCAAAAGTTCTGTATGGTTCATTTGCTTGTGATTAGATACCTCTTTGATGCTCTTAAAGCATTGTATTTTCTCTTTTTATTTCCACTATATTCCATATTCTTGACAATAGTGATGTTCTTGCAGATCATCCTGAGTTGTACAAGGACAGAAGTTCACAAGATGATGGTGCTGGACCCAAACCAACTGAAAATAACACTGATGCAACTCGTAGAGAAGCTGCAACAGATGAGTTCATGCTAGAGCGTTTCCGGAAACGAGAACGTCATCGGGTAATGCGGAGATAGCATCCACTTTTTGTTAAGCGTGGTTTTCTTGGTAGTCCTGATGCTCTGTAATCTTACCTGCAATATTTAAGGGATTTAGGAGTTTCTAAGGTAAGAACGTATAATGAGACTCGAATTGGTCAGCCCTCATTCTAGCGAATTCTCGAAACAGGCTAATTATTCAATACATTGTTTTGGTTCGTCTGTTTCACCACAAAATATTTCTTAGCAGCTGCCTCGGCACTTACATCTCAATATTGCTGATTTTATGTATGCATTTTCCAAATGAACATGCAGATGTAACATAATTGTAGCAGGGATATTTTGATGTCTATGTATTTATTTTGTTGGACAAAAGCAGTTTCCTTAATCATCTCATTTTCTGGATTTTTTTTTTGGTTGCGACAATTCATGTATAATATGAATATTTAGAGTTTGCACATGATCAAATATAAATATAAATGCTAATCATTTCTTGGTAGCTCAATAACGTTCTTCCAAATCTGGTTTCAGTTGCCATAATTGACCTTAAAAATGCTCTTTTATAAAATAAACTTTCCTTAGTTTTATGTAATCATGTATACTTTTTCTAATATAATGAAGAAAACATTTGCGTTGCCACTTAAAGTAATAATCTATGCTCATCTCTGAATCATTACGTGCGAGGTACAAATTTTGTGCTAATGAAAATTACTAAATTAGACTTTGTGAGCCAAAAAAATAGTGTGCTACCAGGGACTGGTAAAAAAGATTAGTCTACTCGCCGTTGCCGAGGATCGAACCCGGGTCACCCGCGTGACAGGCGGGAATACTCACCACTATACTACAACGACTTGTTTGTTGTATATATGTTTAAATATATATCATAACAATTAATAGAAAGCTTGACGAGAGGCCTCCACCCTGAGCCGGTTATACCGTTCTCGCCAAAACTGAGCTCTCATTGCCCAAGTTTCCAGGTCATCTTGCGGCATCTGCAGCCTGCAGGTGCTCATGCCCTGAGGCTTTCTGAAGCTGGTTTTCTTGCTGCCGAGGCTCCTTATCGAACATCTCAGGCTCTTTCCGATCTCTTCCTCTTCCTTGTTGCCATTTAGGATACTAAGCTGCCATAGAGGGTCGGAAAAATTTAGATGCTAGCGGGAAAAAATGGTGTTTCTTGGGTTAAAGTTCAAACTGTTGATTGCTTGAAAGTTCGTGCCATAATTTTAAAAATCAAAATGTGAACCAAAACCCAAGGATTTGATCAGTGTGGTCGAGACAAGACGGTAGTTTCTCGTTTTTCAGAAGCTAGGAGGTATAATTTTCAATTTTTACAGAATACTGGTTTGACAGCCAGGATTGTTTAAATTCAGGAATAAATGTGTTTCATTTTGCATTAATTTTTTTCTTTCCAAATCATTTTGATGCATACCTTTGCTTGAGTTGCTCCACTCTTGAATTTGTAATGACATCAGAGAAGTTTGCTTTTGGTTGTTTATAATATCAAAATCAACCTAAAAAAAATGAATATTAGAAAGTCTTTGATGTTTGAAATTTGTGTTATGCACAGAAAGATCCATGAATGCTAAAAGTCAAGCTTGTTTGTTCTTGATGGGCCAAGTTACAATGCAGATGTTCAGGATTCCAGAGCCAGAACATATACTTTCTCAGTTACGGTTTTAGCTATCGCATCTGGCGACAAATGTCGGACTAAAACAAAGTCAATCAGAGCTTCAGGCAACACCAATGATATGGTCAGAGTGGCATATTTGTCCCTCCTTCATCAGAAAGGATTTTGTCCAAAACTTCTTAAATTGACCTCGTAGGATCCATCCTTCAACAAGATTTTTAAGTTATTTTCTTGATATCTTTCTTGCACTCAACTTTTCTTTCTCATCTATCCAGGTCGAAGGTCTAACTTTTGTCGGAAGACTAATGCGAAGGCAGGCGAAGCCTCATCTTCTGCTTCTCAGTTCAATGACGATGTGTTCATACATTTTAGAGGTAAGAATCTTACTGTACTGATCACCTCTACCGCAGCTCTGATTAACCGCCTTAAATTCATATATATAACAAGATTAGATTTACAGTTTATTCAAAGGAGAGAAGCAAAGTCTATATATCTTGATTGTTAAAAGCATTATGCTGTTTCATTTATTTCTGGGTTTAAAAAGTAAAAACAACACAGACTAATTAAAGTCTCCCATATATTTTGATGAGTGTACTTTGTGATAAACCAGTTTATGTCCATGTAAATGCAACTGGACTGCTAACTTTGTGTTGAGCATCTATCCAAGTAATTGAACCAAAGGCAACTCCACCAACTGGTTTCCTATTTTTAATGGCCGCAAATGTTACTCTATAACTATGCTTTTCTCCTACATTTTTGAAAACCAACTTCCTTGGTTTAACTGTTACTGTCAGAGCCGGAGGTGCAGTCACTTTCACTTCATATGTAGATTTAGCCGTGCCTACGTTTGTCAATGTTCTAGTGTATTGAACAGTCGTCTTGTTTCCGAACAAGACTGAGAATGATGGATAATTGAGCTCACCAAGATCATCAAATCTCTTTGAACAAGTAAGAAAGGGATTTTCTGTGATTTCTCGGACAATTTCAAGAGGGAAATTCAATGAACATAAAAATTTTATATATTCTTCTTTGGAGATATCATAAATAAGGCCAGGAGAGAAAGCTTTTCTTGGGTCAATATGACCCGACCCATATGCCCATGGATTTGTGTCATCAATGGTGTAGGCAGTGGTCATGATTGCTGATTGAATTGCACTTACACTCCATTTCGGATGTGCTGCTTTGAGTCATGCTGCAATTCCAGTTGCATGTGGACATGACATTGATGTGCCTGTCAAAAAGTTTCATAAAATGCTACTTCAAAAAGCTAAGCTTTTGCCGAACAGGCCTGAAGAATCAAATTTCACTGGTTGAGTTTCATTTCTCAAGTAGTCATAATCATAATTTAGTTACCTGAATCAGAGCTGAATTCACTTATCCTATTGTCCTCCTTCAAGTGAGTTGGACTTGCAGCTCCAGACCAAGCAGCCAAAATATTAACACCAGGAGCTATAATATCCGGTTTCAATATTTGGGGCGTCACGAAATTTGGCCCTCTCGAGCTAAAAGAAGCCACCATAGGCGATGGTCGTGCATTTATCACAGTCCCACGAAATCCAAGCACACCCGTTGGATTAGAATTAGTCTTAACATATTTCTTAATCAACTTACCCGCTTTCTTCCCAACCACCACCGTCGGAACAAAGTCATTGTCAACCTGCAACACCTTTACATCCGCCTTCACCAAGATCATCCCAATGCCACCGGCCTTACGCACGGCCAAACCTTGTTCTGCCCCTCTAATTTTCCTACAAATATCACAAATTACAACTCTGCCACGCACCAACTCTGGTTTAAGAGTATTACGTTTACAAAAATTCCTGAATTATTTTTTTCATTTTGATAATCCATACCCATCGGTTTATGTCCCATTCTTAAATTCATATCAAAAGGTTTTTAGTTGAACTTAGTTTACACACACTGAAATTAATTTTCTCGGGTAAATTCCAATTAATTTAGTTACAAATATTTTGCAATAACAGATAAAAACTGTGCTAAACTTGTCCCTTAAAAATATATAATACTTAATCTTATTCAATAAATAAATAATCCACACGATGAATTAGAAGTCCAGTTTCTTGTGTTATACTTGTATCCAAACAAGAGAAGAAAAGCCCATCTTAACAGTTAAAAGCGTTAATGCCGTTCCATATATTTCTAGGTTCATCAACAAGCACAAAACGACAGAGACTAATTAAACTCTCTGATATTAAACGACAGTGTGCTTTGTAGTAAACGAGTTTATGTCCATGTAAATGCAATTGGACTGCTAACTGTATGTTGGGCATTTCTCCAAGTAATTGAACCAAATGCAGCTCCACTCCCTGGTTTCCTATTTTTCTTGGCCATAAATGTTACTCTGTACTTATGCTTTTCCCCTACATTTTTAAAAACCAAGTTTCTTGGTTTAACGGTCACCGTCACAGCCGGCGGTGCAGCCACTATCACTTCATAGGCAGAGTTGGCGGCGCCTGCATTTGTCAATTTACGACTGTATTGAACCATTGTCTTATTACCAAATAAGACTGAGAACGATGGATAATTGAGCTCACCAAGATCATCAAATCTTGAAGAACAAGAAACTTTGGGATTTAGAGTAATTGTTCTGATGAATTCAAGAGGGTAATCCAATGAACATAAAAATTTTGTGTACTCTTTTTTGGAGATATCATAAATAAGGCCTGGAGAGAAAGCTTTTCTTGAGTCAATATGACCCGACCCATATGCCCATGGATTTGAGGATGAACCAGTTGCAGAATCTCTTATAACGGAGTTTGTGTTATCAATGGTGTAGGCAGTGGTCATTAGTGCTGATTTAATTGCACTTGCACTCCATTTTGGATGTGCTGCTTTGAGCAAAGCTGCAACTCCAGTTGCATGTGGACAAGCCATCGATGTGCCTGATAAAATAGAAAAAAAAAAAAAATTCAATATATAAATTCATCTATACTTTTCACAGAAACCTTGTTCGCACTTTTAACTTTCATTTTTATTTATTGAACACTTCACGTTATAAAATTACACATATTAAGTACTTTCGTTGACCAAATTACACATATTAAGTACTTTCGTTGACCTATTGACAGAGTCAGAGCTAGACTATAAAATAAAATTTTCAAAAGTTACGACTGAGTGAAGTGAAGAAAAAAAAATTTTTATACTAAATTATAAAATAAATTTTAAAAAATTTTGGAGTTGTGGGCTCGGTTCCATAATCTCCTCTCTCTGTCCTTTCCTATTTAACACTTCAATTTATAAAATTAGATCGAGTAAATATTTATTAAATAGTTAAAAAATATAAATTATAGTATGAAAAGTTATATCAACCACATATCAAATCACTGTTTTATATATAAAAGTCAAAAACCTAAAAAATTATGTTGCTAGTATGACAATGTGTGAGATTATTACAAAAAATAACACTTCAATTTATAAAATTAGATCGAGTAAATATTTATTAAATAGTTAAAAAATATAAATTATAGTACGAAAAGTTATATCAACCACATATCAAATCACTGTTTTATATATAAAAGTCAAAAACCTAAAAAATTATGTTGCTAGTATGACAATGTGTGAGATTATTACAAAAAATAAAATTCGGATATCATAAAATCGATTTTAAAATTTAGGGTGTCATAGTTGTTTTTGATAAATTTCAGGCTAAATTATGTATATTTGGCCAAATAAAAAACAATATATTTGTTATTTCTAATTGAACAATCAAATTTACTTACCTGATTCAATCACGTATTCACTTATCCTATTGTCTTCCTTCAAAGAACTAGGACTTGCAGTTTTAGGCCAAGCAGCCAAAATATTAACACCAGGAGCTATAATATCCGGCTTCAATATTTGTGGCGTCACCGGATTTGGCCCTCTTGAACTGAAAGAACCCACCATAGGCGATGGCGTCGCCGGATTTACCACAGTCCCACGGAATCCAAGTACAACTGTAGGATTAGAATTAGTCTTAACATACTTCTTAATCAACGCACCCGCTTTCTTCCCCACCACCACCGTTGGCACGAACTCATTCTCAGATTCCAACACCTTCACAGCCACCTCCACCATTATCATCCCAACCCCACCGGCCTCACGTACGGCCAAACCTTTCTCTGCCTCTAAGACTATCCCAATGTCACAAATTACGACTTTGCCACGAACCAACTCTGGATTAAGTGTGTTTCGTAAACAAAAATTACTAGAACTATTTTTTCCATTTTGATAAACCAAACCCATCGGTTTATTTCCCATTCTTTTTCCAGTATAAAGAGATACTCCGGTGAAAAGTTGTTTGTTACCAAGGAAAGCATAAGCCGGAAAGTTCCGGTCTATACTTCCGGCACCAACTGTTAAAACCCATGGAGCCGTGTTTGATACTGAGGCTTTTGCAGGTCCTGCATTTCCAGCTGCGCACGAAACGAAAATTCCAAGCCGAGTTGCAGTAAATGTAGCAAAAGCAATCGGATGAAGATAATATAGAGTCGTATTAAGAGACTGAATATTAATAGATAAAGAAAGCACATCAACGCCATCCGTAATAGCTCTGTCTATTCCGGCAAGAATATCGGCGCCCGAACAACCTGTACTCCAACAAACCTTATAGCTTGATATCCTAGCATTAGCTGCTATTCCACGTGCAGTGCCTTTTGCATAACCAAACATGCTCGCATTTACAACAGGTGATCCGGCGGCGGTGCTAGCAGTGTGTGTTCCATGTCCCTTATAATCTCGAGGTGATTCAATATCTTTGAACTTGTGCGAGCTTTTCTTGCTTCCTTCTGAATAGTAATAAGCACCAATTATTTTTTTATTGCAGAGTTTGCTATTGAAATCGCGAGTAGTCTTGCATTTCCCTTTCCAGTGCTTTGGGATTTCTGGTAAACCTGTATCGTCAAAGCTTTTGGATTCTGGCCATATGCCGGAATCAAGAACTCCGATAATGATATCCTGAGAAGCTCTTTCAATTTCTTGGAAGGTACGCCTGCCATCGTCAATCAAGCCAAAATTGGAATTAAGACCGAGAAATTGCGGAGTGTGAGTTGTCTGGAGAGAGTAAACTCCATCTTCAAACACATTAAGAACATTGTCGAGTTTTTTAAGAGATTCAGCTTCTTCAGGGTCGAGATAGGCGGCAAAGCCCTGAAATGCGGTGGTGTAGGTGTAAAGAATTGAATCGGAGGTGGAGGTGAGGGATTGGTACCATTGGTGGTGAGTGGTATACGTGTCAGGTTTGGAGTTGTGGTTCATATGAAGAATGTAAATTCTTTTTGAAGTAGTTGTAGATCTTAGTGATGAGAGAGTTGAAAGGTAAAGGAGAAGAAGAGTGAAGAACCAAATGTTTGCCATGGAAATCTATTGCTGCCTGCTTCTGCTATTTAGGTTTGTTTGTGGAGGGAAAGAAAACAGGTTTTTCTCATAAGAACATGGCTTGTAGTTCAAATAATAAACACGACACCAAGCGGACCAGGAAGAAATAGGTCCATAATGGTTGCACTTTACCGACACGTAGTAAGTCATGCAAGAATCAGACTCAATGCAATTACACGTGGGAAAACTTACCTACACGTGTTCCATATCATCCCATTTTATGACCAAACTAACCAAATTAACAATTTTTATTGAAACGAAACTACTTTAAACTATATATACTTCCGGAAAAAAAAAAGGATAAAAAAAGATAAAGTTAAAACACTTTTTAAAAAATATTCGTTTCATTTATTTGGTTCATAACTGGGATCATGCACCTCGTCTAGATAAGTTTTTAGCCAAACGCATATTTTAGATCCTGTAATTTTTCAAAAATATCATGTGGCCTCTTATACTTTGTGAGAGTCCTATAATGTACCTCTATTTTTTTTCGTATTTAATAAGTACCTATCACAGGTAAATGAAGTGCGTGCAACTTAAATTCTTACCTGGTAAAAATATAATGACATGTCAGAGAGAGAAAAACACATCATACACCATATCAAATTAGATGGTCCAAAATATACATTTCGTAAAAAATATTCCTACGGACATTGTTCCTCTCTCTCTCTCTCTATCCATTACTACTCAAGGCTGCTGCCATCTCCTCCTCCCTCCTCTTTCGTCTTCCTCTTCTGCTTCCGCTGGGGGGGGGCCCCTTTTTGGGGGGGGGGGCCTTTTTTCTGCTATTTTAGGCTTTGTTTGTGGAGGAAAGAAAAAAAACAGCGTTTTTCTCTAAGAACATGGCTTGGTAGTTAAATAATAAACACGACCACCAAGGCGGACCAGGAAGAAATAGGTCCATAATGGTTTGCACTTTTACCGGACCACGTAGTAATCATGCCAAGAATCCAGGACCTCAATGCAATTACACGTGGGGAAAAACCTTTACCTTAACCACGTTGTTTCCCATATCATTCCCATTTTATGGACCAAAACACTAACCAAATTAAACAATTTTATTTTGAAACGAAACTACTTTAAACTAATATTATTACTTCCAGGGAAAAAAAAAAGGATTAAAAAAAGATTTAAAGTTTTTAAAACACTTTTTAAAAAATATTTCGTTTCATTTATTTTCTGGTTCATACACGGGATCCCATGCACCTCGTCTATGATAAGTTTTTTAGCCAAAATACGCATTATTTTAGATTTCCGTAATTTTTTTCAAAAATATCATGTTTGGGCCTTCTTATTACTTTGTGCAGGTTCCTTTATAATGTGAACCTTCTATTTTTCTTTCGTTGATTTAATACAAGTACCATATCACAGAAATGGAAGTGCGTGCCAAACCTTAAATTCTTACCTTTGGTAAAAATTAGAAATGACATGTCGAGACGAGAAAAACACATCATACACCACTATCAAATTTAGATTTTTTGGTTCCAAAAATTATACATTTTCGTTTTTTAAAAAAAATATTCCTTACGGACATTGTTCCTCTCTCTTCTCTCTCTATCTAATTACTTTACTCAAACGGGCTGCTGGCCATCTTTTACTCCCCTCCTCCCTCCTCTTTCGTCTTCCTCTTCTTGCTTCCAAAAAACCCATCCAAATTTGGGAGGCAAAGAAAAAATAAAATCTTCTTGCCAATATTTCTAGCTTAAATTATGCCTTTATATTACCTTAAGAAGGGAATTAAAAATCCAAAAAGAGGGATGTAAACTTGATCTATTAGAAAAAGGGGGGGGGAAAGGAGGGAAAAAACAAAAAAAATAAAAAATATAAAAGCTACAATCAGAAAAATTAAGAAAATAAAGAAAATGGGAGTTATTATTCAAAAAATTAGAAAGAGAAGAAATTGGTTCAAGGTGAAAAGCAAAGAAGCCAAGGCTCCTAGCTCCGCCAACTTGCCTAGCTCCACCAAATTGAGGCCTAGATCCGACATGATATGAACATGGCGATAAACTAAGCTCCTCCACTACCCCCTCCTCCTCCCACCACTTGACTGCTGCCTCCGCCCATCCACCACCTCAGTCATCAAGCTAGGACTTACTAGGATCTAAATTTCCACCACTCCTTCGGCAAGTCTACTTAGGGAAAGAATGAGAGGAGGTGACAACTGGCATTAAACAAGCCTTTCACCTCTCTTTACACTCTCATGGCAGCTCATGCAAAACATCCACAGCCGACAACATTAAAAGTATGAAAAAACATAAATTAGAGACCATTTTGCAAAATATAAGGGGTCACATGAGTTTTTTTGGAAAAAAATCAAGATCCACAAAAGCAAGGCTCCACTGTTTTCCATTGTCTTTTGTATTAGATTTTTTAATCATGTTTAATGGTAGAAAAAACAGTCGACCGAGCACATACAAGAGCATTTCAAGTACTTGTTCTTCTATTTAGCAGGATATAAATAACAGACTCCTCATACAAGATTAGAAAGAGAAGAAATGGTTTCAAGGTGAAAAGCAAGAAAGAGGTCCTAGCTCCGCCACTGCCTACTCCACCAATGAGCCTAGATCCGACATATGAACATCGATAATAGCTTCTCCACTACCCCCTCCTCCTCCACCACTGCTGCTGCCTCCGCCTCCACCACCTCAGTCATCAAGCTAGGACTTCTAGGATCTATTCCACCACCTCCTTCGGCGTTACTTAGGAAGAATGAGAGGAGGTGACAACGTGGCAATTAAACAAGCTTTCACTCTCTTTACACTCTCATGGATGCTCATGCAACACTTCCACTATGGCGAGATATCTATTAAATATGAAAAACATAAATAGAGACCATTGCAAAATATAAGGGGTCACATGAGTTTTTTGAAAAAATACAAGATCCAAAATATGCAATTGGCCCACGTTTTTTCCATTGTCTTTTGTATTAGATTTTTAATATGTTTTTGTATTATTAACAGGTTCGAGCCGTAGCTACATTACAAGGATCATTCAAGTACTTGTCTTCTATTTAGACGGATATAATATAATGTTGAGACTTGCTCATACTAAGTTTATAGCTCTAACCATGGATTAACTAATGAAAATATAAATTTTTATTGAGACAAGATTATTTCTAACCATATGCTAAAAAAAAAAAAAGAATAAAGTAGAAATAATTTTAAAAAAATTTTTATATATGTTGATTTTGTTTTTATAGAGTGGAGCTATAAACTTAATCTAAGCAAGTATAATTCAACGTGGAGACCAACTCCAAGGTAGCTATTTTTATCTAGAAATCTTTCATTTGCTTCAATTCATCAATTGGACTCTTTTTATTGCCTAACTGTAATTAAATCATCAATATAAACTAACAAAGTAATACATTTTGTTCCTAATCCTTTAATTAGTAAATTGTCATTATGTTGTAATGCATAAGTTGTCCTAATTTTCTTCTTTCTGTTTATTTGCTCTGCACTAAAGTTCGATTTGCAGGGTCAGGCATGTGTTTTGTGAAGCCAACTTCTCAGCTGATAGACCTGCAAAGTTAGGAGACTATTCCTTTAGGTCTCCATGTTTTAGATATTCATAGTGCAGGATGTATTTGAAAAGAGCCATTAATCATTTATATTTTAGCCAATGAGAAAACATTATTGTCCAAGAGCAAGATGGTACTGAACAGGCAATCTACCCAAATAGTAACCTTGATCAAATACTCGCCCATGGAGAAACTGTCTTTGATTGTACTTTTTATGCACCAAACTCAGATATTACTACATGCTTCAATGCTTAAGGCTATTTTGTCAAGGCTTTTGTTGAGGAACCGATTAAGGAAATGTGCAATTGCCCTCCTTTGCCCTCCGATTCGCCATTCAATAAGTCCCATCCTATCCTAAATCATGGCAAAATAGACACAGATTTCAGTTGCTTGGACTAGATGCTATGGAAAATTCAGTTTGACAGCTCAAGAATATCTAATTCTTCCAGCACCAAAATAATGCTTATTTTGCCATTTGGAGCAATCATGATGATGACATTCAATTCATTGTTTCTCAAGACAATCAGGATTTGGGGTGTAGACAAGCCGAGCCAAGCTAGAACCTATCAAGCCCGAAGCTTAGCTCGAGCTCAACTCGAAACTTGGTAAACCTAAAAATTTTAGATTCGAGCTCAACTCAAAAATTTTCAGCTTAAGTAAACCTTAAATAAATATTATGTATAGTTATATAAAAAAGTTCGATAAGGTTTGATGAGTTTTCGAGTTAAACATCATTAAGCTCGAACTCGATTCGTTTGCTAAATAAGTCGGCTCGAGTTCAATTAGAGTTATCAAACATTTTCAAGCCGAGCACGAACAGCTCGCGAGCTGACTCAGGTCATTTACACCCCCTACTCAGGATCAAGTCCAGATATTGACAATTCTATCATGGAATGCTTCACAATTACACACTAAAAGGAATCATATTATAGAGATTATATGAACAAATTGAGAAATGACATTGATCAAAGGAAGCAAAACAAAATCATAAACATGTGGAATGAGGCATTCCTGAAGAAATGAAAGTTCTAGCATCAAAATCAAATAGAAGAGGAATTGAAAACTCAAATAAATTGCTTTAGAAACTCTGTAGCAACCAGCCTCCCTCGTGTGTTCACTGACATTTTTAATTCACTTATCTCTTTATCGATATCCTGCAATTCAAGGAAAGATTAAGAGGAAGAACAAAATGAGAAATCTTCAATATAAACCTCACTAATAAGTAAACAAGCTACTAAACAAGAAAGATAAAAAGCCTTGATGTCTTCCTTTTTCCAAAATGTTCCACGTAGAGGATCAGAAACCCAGGGCTAGAAAATAGTATTTACTTTGAAAACTTATCCCAGACACCTTTCGCCTAGAAAACTTAGGATTTCTACACTTGAAGTAATACCAATAATTCCAAGGGATATCAAATTTTCGAAGTTAATGAATTCGATCTGCCATGCAGAAGTACTTAATTCTAACAAAGGACTTTGCACAACGCAGCACATAGGCAATAATGACCATATGCAACTCGCAGCTCACCAATTTGACCCAAGTTAGAGAATCAATTTCGAAAATAATACAATAGAAGTCATGAATTCTGAATCACATATTCAACTAAAACTAAATGACGGTAAATATAATCCTGAATCTGCAGCAAAAACTAGCAAGGAACCTTAGACAACCAATTTGATATGTTTTGAGTGATTTCAGCAACAAGTCAAGATTTCATTAGGAACCTCAGGAGTGAGAACAAAAAGCATCAGCAAATGGTTGATTTTTTCACGTATAAACATGTCATCATTAATTTGATAACATCCAATAAACATCTTGTAGTCAGAAATCAGGTAGAAAGAACAATGGCAAGTGAAAGGGCTCTGTAAAATTCTTACCTCCATGAATTGCACAATAAAATCTATAAGTTTTTGTTTCTGCATCTCCTCGCAGTGGTAATTTGTGATAAGAAAGCTAATGTCATATCCCTGCTAAGTGAGGCACCAAGATAATAAATATTAGTTAGTACATTATCTTAATATTACAAAAAATCTTTTTGAAACAAAAGGCTATACTTAAACTTTCATGCCACACACAAGGTTTTTGAAGAAGTGCTGGAACAAAAGCATCTTTTACAGCATTGCCATTACTTTCATAGGCAGAAACGCAAACTCATAACATTGACGACCATAATTTACCTATCATAGACAATAAATGAAATTTCTTCATTGTGATAAGTAGACAAGGTTTACCCTGCTTGCTAAGCAATAAAGATGTTGTTCAGTATAAAGAGACACAAAGGTGCATATATTTAGGCCACACTGGCTCTAAGACAAGCCTAACATTAACCAATGCAAAAGCATTCCTTTTCCCACTACAAGAACCCTGACACTTCAGGGATAATTAATCCTAAAGTAGTTGAAAAACTTGCCTTTGTCAAGCAAAAGAACTTATAAAGCAATTCTTGTTTCACATCATTGAGATAAGACCAGAAATACCTGTATAGGCTTTCGTCTTAAGACTTGAAATGCTTCCGCTCTCATTGACAAAAACCTAAGAAATTTTTTAGTTAGAATGTTTTCCAGCTCATCCGCCTGCTTTACCTATACAATTTGAAAGGAATACGTGTATAAGGAAAAAAATTACAATTCCATGGATTTTATGATATTGGTATCCATGCCAAATTCTGGTACCAAAGCTATCTGTGAATTTAATGGGTATGTAAATGATATTATAAAAATGGTAAAAAATTAATGTCTTCCAGTTGAGGTTGCATAAAAAAGCTAGCTTGATTAAACAAAGTATGGACCTAATTTAGTACAAAAAACTCTTTTTCATAAACAATGAAAAACATTACAGGCACCAGTGAGAAACAAGTGGAAAACAAGAAAACACTTAGAAACAAAGCAACTGCAAATTCTAATTAGAAGCAAAACTGATATTTCCCATTTGAGATGGCATAATTGAGCTAGATTGAGCTAACATAATACAGAGTCAATTTATCATAACATATTCTTTTCTAATAAAAGATGAGGATCACCATGGACACCAAGTGCAGCCATTTAACAAGGAAACTATTTTAAAAATAAAAAACAAGTTTCTGCTGGAGCAATTGGATTAATAAAAGATCTGTATGTTAAAAACAAAGAGACTTTTTCACCCAGTTACAAATCCTCTTACTACTTTCCCTCCAAACCAGAAAAATACATGGTGAGAGAGATCTAACTGGATTATCAACTATTTTGAATTTTGGCATACATGAATTATGATACCTAATCTAGCGGTAGGAAGTAGGAGCCTAACATTTCTGATTTTCAGCTCTAGAAGAGTAAAATATCATAATCAGCGTCGAAGTGTGAAGTCAATGATGCCTATGATTGATGAGCTCATACTTAAATTATCATCAAAGGAAGCTTAACCTTTACCGCATATGTGAAGAGCACAACACATTTGATGGATGAAATGATAAAGTTAAACAAATCAACATTATACAATATGATTATTATAGTAAAAAAAATAATTCAGCAGCAAGATAATTATTTTAATCTGGTCAAACCATAAAGGCAAATTTAACATAAACCACCCAGCGATATGTGTATATAACAGCTGAATGTACAAAATTGAATATAGAGATGCAGAACATCCCAAGTAGCCTACCAATAAAATAAAAAGAAGTGCATGTATATTTGTGTACTATGAGCAATGATCAAAAAACCTCTAGGTATTGTGATGCATATCTATTCTAGCTCAATCAAGTAGATAAAAGCATCATTAACATATTCAACATACCTTAAGGCTTATACGGAGTGAATTAATCGAAGTTTCTATTAAGCATTTTTCAGCCTCATTTCGACATATCACAATCTGCAAATCATTGGACACAATAAATTAGAGTCTACATGCAAATTAAAATATCCATCTGTCAGCTTAAAAATGGATAATAATAATAAAAAAAATACTAAGAGAATTCAGCAAGTTGTGAAAATGATTACTGAACCAAAAATTTTTAACTTAATTAGTATTCTAAATCATGCTCAAGATAATTTCACAAGTTCCCAGTCATTAACCTGAACAGAGTTCATGTAGTACCATTTACCCTCTGAAATAACAAGATAATTGTTTTCACTTTTCACCTTTAGGCAGTGTGAATATACATTTAAGCTTCCATTGCAAGAATGTTTCGTTCTCCCATTCCAGGCATTAGACAGACACAGAAATTAGGGAGGTAGCATCATAAAACATGTTTAACATTTCTGAAATAGATATAACTAAGAATCTTCCAAATAATAACCACAAAGATGGAAGTGGAACACATATACACACATAGAACTGATTATATGGCTCTATTTAAGATCAAAGAGATAATCCTTACAGGATTTAGAAGAAGTTCTGGGCTTGTCCTGCAAAATAAAAAATAAAAGATTAGGAACTCATAGCAGCAACATACCCTAAAACCCAGAAGGAAACCTGGTAGACAGCTATATGCAGAAATTACCAGCCTCAAATATACAAGATATTATGATAAATCCAAGCATGAGGATTAAAAAATTATAAAAAAAAAGGTTATGAATTGAAGAATTACACAAAAAGACGTACTTGAGTTCAACCTCTGGCTTGTTATGCCTTTCAACTTCTTGACAAGGAAAGTTCTACAAGCAACAGAATCACCATTAAGATCAGCCAAAGCATCACTCTACCTATAGTATAATCAAAAAAACCAACAAAATGAGACATAATCATACCTGCAGACACAAGGCTGCCTCGAGAGTGTTCCTTATGCATGTCAAATACAACCTCAATGTATTTGCCTTTTAATGATTTTAAACACAAAATCAAATTCAACAAGAACAGAACCAAAGCGGACTTAAGAGTAAGATCCAGAAGAATAAATGTGCATTTTTGTTAAAGAAACTGATAAAGAGCAAGGAAGGGAAAATAATTAAATTGTTGGTTTGCTCTTACCATGAAAGCGTATTTAGAAATTTGAAATTGCTGAAAAACACTTGCACACTTTTCTTGGTTTTGTGTAAGATTGTCGGTACCGTTTTCACAACTGATGAGTTTTGCGATTTGATTGATCTTGAAGGAAGTGCTCTGTTTGGATGCGTGAGAGAAAGAGAAAGAGAGAATTTCATAAATATGAAAAAGAGAAACAGAATTAGGCATGAACACGGTTCGTTTTCAAATCAAAACCGAATTGAAATCGAACCGGTCAAAACCGGTATAAAACTATAGTCAACAGTTCCTGATTTCAAACCTTAATTGAAACTGTGTATTTAAAGGTTCGGTTTCAGTTCTTCATTTTTGAATTGAAATCGCCAATTATGATTTGAACTGACAATCATACTTGAAATCGTGACAAACAAATTCCTAAAAAAACTTTCAATTTTTATCCCTCTCCTAAAATAAAATATTTTTAAATCACAATCAAATAATAAAATTAAATATTTAAAAAATAAATTTGAAAAGTTAAAAATTTTAAAATTTTAAAATGCCTTCTTATCACATATATTTCTTTAAATAAAATAAATTTAAAAAAGCTAAAACTTACAAATTTGGAAAGGCTTAATTATCTACGGATATTTATTTAGACATTAGTTTTAATAAAATAGATCCAAAAAAATCAAAGAAAAAATTATATATATTTTTAAGTGAAAATTTTTTAATTGGCCTTGACTAAAGTTACTTTAGGATATCTTAAATGTCACTAAGGGTTATCATTGGAAAACTCATTATTCCCTCTCATTCTCACATTTATATATAAAAATATTTTTAAATCACAATCAAACTAATAAAAATTAAAATTTAAAAAATAAATTTTGAAAGTTAAAAAAAATTTTAAAATTTTAAAATGGGGCCCTTCTTATTCACAATATATTTCCTTTAATAAAATAAAATTTTAAAAAAGCTAAAAAACTTACAAATTTGGAAAGGGCTTAATTATCTAACGGATATATAGACATTAGGTTTTAATAAAATTAGATCCCACAAAAAATCAAAAGAAAAATATATATACTGTTTTAGTGAAAATTTTTAATTGCCCCTGGACCCTAAAGTTACTTTAGGCATATTCCTTAAATTGTCCCACTAAGGGTTATTCATTGGAAAAACTTCAATTGATTCCCTCTCCATTCTACATTTAGTACTATATAGATATATATATATATAATATATATATAAATAGGAATTATTTTATATTTACAGATAGATTCTCTTATTTTTATATATTCTATAAATAGATTATTTATATTAAGATAGATTCTCTTATTTTATATATTTTTCTATTAAGGTCATTACGTTACATTTTCCTTATCCAAGTAGCATCCATTATATTTTCCTAGTCTCAACATCACCATGTATATATATACTATATGAAAAACAAATAGCAAGTTCTTGTCAGCCATGGTACTAATAAACTGAACTTGTCTAGCGCACCCACTTATGTCCAATCAAGTTCATGGGCCTTTACATGCTTACAGTTTTATAAATCCATAATTCATTATTATTTGATATCTAATTTGATAACTAACTCAGGTCTATTATTTCAATTATTATTTCAATTCAGTTGAGTTAAACGTCAATCTAAAATATCAGCTTTACATTTTCTATTTATCGAACTAAGGTCTAGTATTACACAACAAACTAGAACCTAGCAATTTGTATTTCCATTAAAGGGCTAGTACCTTACTCTTATGCTTATTTCAAACCATTGATCACTTCTAGCTATTATTAAAGATAATTACTTCAGTTAATTAGCTAACAACATTTTCCAGGATTATCTTAACTCTTGTTTCATCGATTTCTGTGATTTTCCGCTTTGAGGCCTATTTGTCTAATTGCATGTATTGAATCTAATTGCAAAACTAATTACTTATTCATAACCTACACATCAGACGGAGCATTCTGCCTGCTGGAATAATTTACTGTCAACGGAGCCAGCGCCGGAGACGCCGTCCACGGTCGCCGGAGGGGCGGTGGTTGCCGAATTCCTCAAGATTCAAATATTAATCGTGGTTTTTCATGTAGAAATCAATTTCACCATCCAATGCCTAATTTATCAGAACCTCAAAATTTTATTCAAACTGAAACCTAAATTCTAAACCCTTCAATCTTTATTCAATGACCAAATCAATCAAGAATAAGTTAATCAAAAGCATTGAGGGTCGATTTTCGACCAACCTGAGTAAAGGGAATTTCTGGAAATGCTTGAACTCTCCGCAAAGTCGAGAAAGATAGAACTGTAGAAGGAGGTAGCGACTTCGCAGGAGAGAGCCTTGTTTCGCGTGGAGCAGACTTCGATCGTTGAAGGTATGGCCGGAGTTAAGGTCGCCGTCACTTGAAGCGTCGATCGCCGCCTTGGCCTCGATAACCGGTGGCCAAAACACTGATCGGGGAAGGGAAGGAAAGGAGATCTCGGTGCTACTATCGGGAAAAGAGTTTCGGGCTTCTTTTCCCTTTTTGGTTGCTTCTGTCTCCTATTTTAATTGGTATGTGTCTAGTTGGGCTCAATTCTACCTGTTTCCTTGTTTTATTATTCTAATGAAATTCTATTTGTTACAATAAATTAATACTTATTAAATTCAAATTTTAGAATTTAATAGGTAAAATTTTAAAATTTTAAAGTCGGTATATTTAAGCTATATATACACAACTAGACCAACCCGCACGTTACGCAAGTTGCTTTATTATTATTTTTTAAAGGATTGTTTTAGTAGTATATTATACTTTATACTTCATAAATTGCATTTACTAATAAATTAATAAAAAAGTAGTATATTATACTTTATACTTCATAAATTGCATTTACTAATAAATTAATAAAAATAAAAAGATCTCTTAATTATTGTGAACCAATAAATTTATCTATATAAGTGAACCGATAAATATAGTCATACATATAAAGTTTTTTAAAAATGCAAAATTAATTTAAAATCTTGTTTAATAGTGAACGCCTTTTATTTTTATTTTCAAAATTTTAGAATTTTTATTAAATAAAAAATCCTAAATTTTTTACCGTATGAGCTATAAATACCGAGCAATTTCAATCTAAGCCTAAGTTTGCGGAGTTGGGCTCGAGATGTTATAATTTGGGGCTGAATTATAATATAAATATAAGTTTTATTTTTGCATAGCAATATAGGCTTAATACTGAAAATTTACGTTGGTAGAATTAAATTTTGTAGTTAGGCTTACTATAGGCCTCGGGGGCCTTAAGCTGGGCCCTAGTGCCGGTCCGCCCATGATTGCGAGTCGTGACAAATAATTTCTTCTAAAAATATAAAATTATATATATATATATATATATAGACACACACATGGAACAATGACCATATTTTGCATTTATGAATATATATATATATATATAGACACACACATGGAACAATGACCATATTTTGCATTTATGATCATTTCATTCAACGGTTTGAGAAATTCAACCAATCCCGCAAAGTCAGATTTACACATCAATAAAATTAATATCAATCTAGCATATAAAAAACCTTTTTTTTCTAGTTGAAGCTATACTGAAAAATAGAAAGAGCTCGTACTAATATAAATTTTTGAATATCAATAGTTAATAAAGGCAACAAAGAACACAAAAAAAATAAAATAAAATAAAATAATAGGTACATGTGATTCTAAACAAATTGATGCTCAAATAACGGTACAAATCGAGATTTTAAAAAGAGAAGAACTGCGGTTTCAAAGTCAGGTGAAATAATTTTAAGTATATAACTCCAAATCATGCACAATTTTAATTGAATATCATTGCCGAGTAGGAACGATGACGGAAATAAAAAGTTCTTTTTGGAAATGCTATCGAATGCTATTAGGAGTGTTTGCGAGAAGATGATTGGATTGTGAATGTAATAAAAAATATATATAATACACTAACTAATGCGCTGTACAAAAGAAAGAAAAGAAAAAATAAATTCAACATACAACAAACTAACAAAAGAAACAAAGAAAAGCAGTAACTATATATTTTATGCAAAAATAATCATTTTGTTCATAAGCCACTGCTTATAATTATATATAGACACATATATAGAGATATATGTATAAAATTAAAACTTTTCAGAAACCAAATTATTTTTAAAAATTTTAAATTTTTAAAAAATGAAAGTCAAATATCGAATATAAAATAGAATAGTTGTTAAATTAGATTAGATTTCAAGATATATTGTTATTATCTAAATATTAATTTTAAATTAAAAAAAACATATGACAATTCCATCAAAATATAGAAAAATAAAAAAAATTCCTAAAATTCCTATTAAAAATTTTCAAAATTTTAAATTTTGAAAAAATGAAAATTAAATATGAAATAAAATGGAATAGTTGTTAAATTATATTAGATTTCAAAATATATTTCTATTATCTAAATATTAATTTTAAATTAAAAAATATATAACCATCTAACCAAAATATAGAAAAATAAAGAAAAAATCTAAAAATTGCAATTAAAAATTTTTAAAATTTTCAAAAAATAAAAATCAAATACGAAATAAAATAGAATAAATGATAAATTAGGTTAGATTTCAAAATATATTGTTATTACCTAAATATTATTAATTTTAAAATTAAAAAATAAAACCATCCAATCAAAATATAGAAAAATAAAGAAAAAATTCAAAAATTTCTAAAAAAAGAAAAATAGAATACTCAAATAATAGAGTGTCAAACTCACATCATTTTGCTTCAGAATTATATATATATTAGACGTTAGTCTGCGCTTCGCCCGCGGGTATCTATATATTACTCGATAGTTATTATTATTAAATTACTTTGTAATGTTTTAAATTTGTAATTAATATTGAAAAGTTTTTGTTAATAACAATAACTAACTCTTATATTTACTTATAAATAGAGGATTATTTAGAATTTAAACAATTATTAATTTAATGTTTTATATACAGATTCAACATAGCAGAAGTGATATCAAAAGTCAAATTGATACTTTTTTTTGTAACAATTTAATGTTTTATATACTTTTTCGTAATCTAATTATCACATTCAATATATTTAATTATCTAAAAATTATGATTATCTAAATTCAAATGCCTAATTATCAATAAATTGATTTAAATAATTTAAAGAATTAAATTATTGGCAAATATACATCCAATCAACTTTAAATAATTTAGTAGGCAAGTCTGGAAACCTGCTACTGGAACTGACTACCTTGAACGTCAGCAGATTCGATGGAGACTCAGAAATGAGTTTGAGTTAGCTCAGAGTTGACTAGCCATCTACAGAAGAAGAGAGAAAGAGACACTTGATACTGCAAAACACGTGCTGAAACGGACGATCATAAGCTATCATCCTCTGATCTATAAAGTAAAATAGAAGCTCCACTTAACCACAGTGAAACAGCCATGTGTTGTATAATAAATACAGTTAAATTGATTAATCTGATGGGTAAGTAAAGTACTCTCCAAGACTGCAAAGTTTTTTTCTAACATTGTTTTTGATTCCAGAAGAGCTGCAATTGGATTTGTATTATCACCTCCAGTATTTTCAGCCATCGTTGTCGCATTCAGAAATGGCTCCTGAACAGTTTCATACATGCGCCTAAGCATGTTGAATCCAGAATCCCTCGGCTGAAGATTCATTAGTGTTGCTCATTGCTCAGTCAGTGTTGCGCATCATCTCAAGCATGAAGTTAGGATTTCTTGCTGCTTCAAGTGTTTGACAGAAAGTGCTGGGATCATAAAAAATGTCAAAATGCACATAATTTTATATTATAATTTAATTTATTCAATGAAAATATATGAAAAAAAATTTAATTTCTAATGATTTTAAATTATATTATATTATATTATATTTTTTTACTTACGTTTTTTTAGTTTTTTAATTCAAATAAATTTATAAATCTAAACCGCCTTTAATAACTTAATATAACCAATAACTTTTGTTTTAAATATTTCTTTTGTATTAATAATGATACGGTGGTGGAGATGGAACGGTGGTTATGGTGGTAGACTAGTAATTGTGGTGATGGTGGAGGTAGAGTAACAGTGGAATAGTGATTGTGGTGACGACGACGATATAATTAGCTGTGGTACACTAATTATATTATATATTTTAAAATAAATATAAAAAAATGATAATTATATTTCATAAATTTTTATGATTATATTACAAAATCTAATAATAAATTTTTATGATTATATTACAAAATCTAATAATTAAATCTTCCTTGCAATCTATTACATTGCATTACATTTTTTATTATATTGTAAAATGTTACGTTAACAATAACCGGGGCTTTTTAGAACTCAAACTTCCACTTTCTAGATATATAAGGTCCTCCGCACTGCATTCTTTAGATTGTCAATTGCCCATCTCTTAAACCCAAAACCTCGCAATGGCACTCTCTAAACCAACCTTGTTCGGCCACCTTAAAACCCTAGTCGCCCACCGCCACCGCTACCACCATAACCCTCCGTCTATTATCACTATCCGTTTACTTTCCTTCTCCTCCTCAGAAGAAGCTGCAGCAGAACGACGTCGTCGCAAACGCCGCCTCCGTATTGAACCCCCACTTTCTTCACTCCACCGTTCTCAACAACAACAATCACAGACCCAACAAATCCCTAAACCCATTCAAAACCCTAACGCCCCTAAACTCCCCGAACCCATCTCTGAAGTCTTGTCCGGCAAACGGAATGACCTCCATAATCGTATCTTAAAGCTTATCCGCGAAAATGACCTTGAGGAGGCTGCTCTTTTCACCCGCCACTCTGTCTATTCCAACTGTAAACCCACCATTTACACTGTCAATGCAGTTCTCAACGCCCAGCTCCGTCAGTCTAAATACTCAGATCTTCTTTCCCTTCATCGCTTCATTATTCAGGCGGGTGTGGCCCCTAATATTATTACCCACAATTTGATTTTTCAAACTTATCTTGATTGCCGAAAGCCAGATACTGCGCTTGAACACTATAAGCAGTTAATCAATGATGCTCCCTTTAATCCATCTCCTACTACTTATAGGATTTTGATTAAAGGGTTAGTGGATAATGGGAGAATTGAGAAAGCTTTGGAGTTGAAAGAGGAGATGGTGGAAATTAAGGGTTTTACACCGGATCCATTGGTTTATCACTATTTGATGGTTGGGTGTGTTAGAAATTCTGATTCTGATGGGGTTTTTAAGCTTTTTGAAGAGTTGAAAGAGAAGACGGGTGGGGTGGTAGAGGATGGAGTTGTTTATGGGGCTCTAATTAAGGCTTACTTCATGAAGGGAATGGAAGAAGAAGCGATGGAGTATTATGAAGAGGCTGTGGGGGAGAATTCAAAGCTTAAGATGAGTGCTGTTGCATATAATTCTGTATTAGACGCATTGTGCAAGAATGGCAAGTTCGATGAAGCTTTGAAGTTGTTTGACAGAATGATACAAGAACATAACCCACCTAGAAATTTGGCTGTTAATCTGGGGAGTTTTAATGTGATGGTTGATGGTTATTGTGCACAAGGGAGATTTGAGGAAGCCGTTGAGGTTTTTAGGAAAATGGGTGATTATAGATGCAATCCAGATGTATTGTCATTCAATAACTTGATTGATCAGTTGTGCAAAAATGGAATGTTGGTGAAGGCCGAGGAGCTTTATGGAGAAATGGATGGAAAGGGAGTGAAAGCTGATGAGTATACTTATGGTTTGTTAATGGATACTTGTTTTGAGAATGATAGAGTTGATGATGGGGCTGCATACTTTAAAAAGATGGTGGACTCAGGGTTGAGACCTAACTTGGCAGTCTATAATAGATTAGTTGATAAGTTGGTTAAAGTGGGAAAGATTGATGAGGCAAAATCGTTTTATTATTTGATGGTGAAGAAACTCAAGATGGATAATGCAAGCTACAAGTTTATGATGGCAGCATTGGCTGATGCAAGGGATATGGATGAGTTACTTAAAATGGTTGATGGAATGTTGGATGATGAGGCAATTGAGTTTGACTCAGAGTTGCAGGAATTTGCTAAGGAACTATTGGGAAGGGATGGAAGAGAAGAGGAGTTAACAGAGCTTATGGAGAGGAAGGAGAGGGAGAAGGCAGAAGCTAAGGCTAAGGAGGCTGAGGCAGCGGAGGCTGCAAAAAGAAGTGCAAAAGCTGCTGTTGCTTCTTTGCTTCCCTCCAAGTTGTTTGGAAACAAAGGAAAAGAGTCTGAGACAGACTCAGTGGAGAAAAAAGAAACTGTTGAGGAGGCAAATATTGTAGGGTCTACTCCTCCCGAGGCAAATTTGAAATAAGTGCTTGAATCCAATATGGAGGATATGGTAAATCTTTTCTTTATGTTTGTAATTAAAAATGTTAGGAAAAGATGATCTATTGTTGAGCTCACTGGATTTTTGTGTAATTTTCCCCGTCTCTTATAAGAATGCTACTAATCTTGAGGACTTAAGAACACCATAAGTGTTCTGGCTAGAATTTTATGTGCTACTTTTGTTGGTTGGATTTATTTTGATGCCTAAATATTTAAGTGTTTGGACCATGTAGTTTGTAGGTTTTCTGTTCTGCCACCAGTAAAGATATTGAGTTGTGGATATGTTTGTGTTTATGTTTTCTTTCTTTATTGTTTCTACTTTTTTTGTCTTTTCAGTTTTTAATTGAATTTCCGGAAATCCAGTTTTTGAACTGTATGTTTATTTTTGATACGTGTTTATTTCATAGGAGTCTCGATTGCTATAAATAATTTATTTGGTTTTCTAGTTATATTGCAGAGAGATCCTTATTGGGGCAGATGTCCAGAGTATTGATGTTGTGGCTGTTGTGGTTGTTGATGTTGTCTGTAAGATGTTGCCTTTATTTTCATCTGGAATTTGTTTTACGTGGGTGATATGGTCTTCAATTGGGATTTTAGTTGCTGTAATGGTTTGAAAGTTGTGCACAAGAATACCTATAGCTGATGCAGCACACGAAATGGATCTGTTACTCAGTAGTCCTCTTGCTGATGCTAAATATCAAACGTAACATGCTGGTCTAAATTTCACAGCTGCTGTAATTGGACATGATAACACGTTTCTGTTTGGTTATTTGTTTGGGGGTTTCATTAGAATATATAATATTTAACCCCAACATGTGAAAGTTTCTATTATTTTGCTTAATATAGTGAGTAGCATACGAGTCCGTGATTGTAGCTGTGAAGTGGTGGCGGATACTTTGTTCTGTTGCGTGATGTTAATGGGTTCATGAGTAACTTGTGCAAGTAATGACGAATGCATTTTCCTTTTCTATTGACTATTTATGGTTCACTGGTATTGGATTCCTCATCTATTCTCTGTATGCAAATCAAGCATATTCACAGTGATGCCCCAGAGAATCGCAATGATAACTGCAGTCTTCTTTTTCCACTATGCAGTTCATGAAGGGATACTTTGAACATGTGACTGTTCTTGATGATTGTTGAGAATGATTACTAGATTTTTTCGACTGCCCCTCTTCTGATACAAACAGGCTAAATTCAAAGCTGCTGTCATGTTATGTAATTCTACTGAAGAAAATGCAGTAACTGTGTGTAGTCTTTTACTCATATTCATCATGTTTATTCATCAAATCAAATCTAAGGAAGCTAGCTAGCTTGACATGAAGTAAATATACTTGGACAAGTCAATAGCAGATGATTAGAAGATTCCTGTTAATTGTCTCAAGTCCATCGTGCTCCTACTCTGTTGGTACTTCAAACGCTTATCCTTGGGGTATATTTGCTCTTTTTTCATCAAGACTCCATTTCCAGACTCCACTTATCGCTGCATATTCTTTGATAGGATAAAACTTTTTCATTTCCCTTGATTATGCAAGTGAGCCATATTTGTTGATAATCTTCTTAAAAAAATCATATTTATTTATTTATACTAAAATGGATATAATCTTGCAGGTTTGATAAAAAATAATAATAGACCAAATTTTGAAACATAGTTTTAGGTAATTTATGAAAAAATGTTTTAGGATTTAAAACTGTGGGGATAAGCTAACTGTCGACTTCCTATGTCACACCCCTTTTAAAATTGATTGGATTAACTGGTTTAAAACATTGGCCGTTCTTGCACAAGAGTTGCGTGATTTTTTTTTTTTTTTTTTTTTTTGACTTCCCTATGTCACACCCCTTTAAAATTTGATTGGATTAACTGGTTAAAACATTGGGCCGTTCTTGCACAAGAGTTTCGTGATTTTTTTTTTTTTTTTTTTTTTAAATTATATTAAAGAACTGAAGTGGCCAGAAAGATGTACAGAATCTACAAAGACGATACATCCTTCATGTAAACAAAATGGTCATTCTACAATAACATTTAAGCCAACAAATGTGTGTCATGTCTCGCTAGAATCTATGTCAGTTCTAACCTTTTGCTTCTCATTATTCTACAGTTACCTCAAGAATTTTCGAGTTTTCTCAATACCTCGAACGATCTAGGTAGAAAGAAAAAAGAAGGCATAGATGACATGTAGTTAGACAGGAAATCCCAGGGCTCCAGTTCAGTTCTCACTTTAAAATGGATGACTGAGCCAATTGCTGTAGCTGATGAACAACATGAGACATTCTCGGACGCATGGAGGGCACATGCTGCGTGCAAGCATATACAAGGTCCACTACCTTCTGAATCACACCAGCTTCCGGAATTTCTGAAGAAGATGAAGATATAAAAGGATCCAAGAGCTCAGGGTAGCGATGAGCCTGCACCAAAGGTGTTGCCCACTCAAATATACTTTGCCAACCAACTGAATCAACCGCTTGTGCAGGCCTACGCCCAGTGACTATTTCTAACAGCAGCACTCCAAAGCTGTAAACATCGCTTTTTGTTGTAAGCTCATTTCTATACACAAATTCTGGAGCAAGGTACCCATATGTACCGCCAGCCATCACAGTTCTCTCATGCATCACTTCCCATGGTACAAACTTTGAGAGACCAACTCCCATTAAATGTGCTCCAAACTCTTCATCAAGAAGGACATTACTGGCACGGATATCCCTATGCACAACATGTGGCTTAACCTTGTCATGCAAGAACCTATTTAAGAGGAGAAACCAAGCAAATGACAAACAGTTAGTATCAACCTATGAAAGGCTTTCATAAAAATTCTCATAGTCCATGTATATTATCAGGTTGGGAATAGAATGTCAATCCCAAAGTATTATAAAATAAAATTAGGTGTGTAATAATATGTCAATCTCAGAGAGTGGATGGCCAATCCAATTTAACTTGACCAATAGGAATACATAGCAAAAACTGAAGACAGCAAAAGTAGAAAAAGCAATAGCATATGTCATAATGTTATATAAATAGATACCATGCTTTTTATCTAGTAAATAATAATAAGACTTCATTAGTATCCAAATTACAAGTGCTGCAAACCAAATTTATGCTTGTCATATGTTTTTCTAATAAGCAGTCATTGTTTGTTGTCAAGTTAAGATTAAATGATTTACCACTTGAAAATCAGTGTTCCACGCAATGAACACGAGAATGACAGAATTAGTTGAAGATGGCAAACAACTGAGCATAAAGAATCATTCATAACCTGATCAATTGATGACATGTAGGCAACTTTCCCAACTCGATGCTTATTTACAGTGCAGAAAATAATATGATAACAAATGATGAAAAGCCATTCTCTTATTTTTTAATGACCAGAATCCAAAATTTAACCCAAAGTTAAAAAGACATGCAAACAATGATAATGATTTGGATCACAACACCATCATTAGAGCAACCAAAGTAATACTACTCTTGCTTATGATAATAGTAGCAGCATGCAATTTGCAAATAAGTAAAAAGTTTTCTGGATATACATACGCAATCCCTTGGGCAAGTGTGGTAGCTATTTTCATTCTCATAGCCCAATCCAAGCTCCTACCTCCCCTTGGGATGTGGTGCAGCCATCTATCTAAGGGCCCATTAACTATAAATTCATAAACAATGTAGCGGTCACCATGATCATAGCAACATCCTTTAATAGCCACCAAATTTGGATGGTGAAGCCTCGCAACCCTTCCGATCTCAGAATAGAACTCCTTCTTCCTTTGAAAACTGGATCTCTTCAACCTCTTAACTGCAACCCTTGATCCATCAGGGAGAAGCCCACTATATGTGCCTCCTGTTTTTGCATCACCAAGAAGACGATTTCCTTCGCTAAAATTCTTTGTTATTGACCTCAATTCCTCATTGGTGAAGACTTTCCATGAAGGTGGAACTAAAGCAGAAGCTGCTGGATTAGATAATTTGCGCGACTTTCTCCGCTTCCTGCTCCGCCTATATGCAAGGAGCCAAACCACAACAACTAGTGTTGTGAAGAGAATCAACCCACTTACGACAGCAAGGATAATAAGATATTCCCTATGGCAGTGCATGTGGTAACATTTGTTCTCTGTAACACGAGAAAAAGGAGAAAAAATAGTAAAAAGAACAAGAGGGTCAAATGCTTTTCTTCTAAGTGAAAGAAAAATACTCCGCATTTCCAAACAATCAAAACCTAAAATCTGAAAATGTGAGCTAGTGCATATTTTGTATAAAGAAACATACAAATAGATAGATGAGATGAATAACAATTTATCAATGATAAAACAATCAAAGCCTAAAACATAGAAAAGCAAGCAACTGCATCTTTTTTCGGCAGATATATATAATGTATGGAAGCATACCGACATCAAGCATGCAAATAAAGGCATGAGGCTTTTTGCATTGCTCTTCCACAAGATATATGCTTCCATTATTCACCATGGTACAAAAATCGGTTGTAATATTGTGGCAGGACAAACTGGTACAGTGTGAATCAAAAGATGCTCCAGAAAATATTGAAACATTCCAGTATGATGTATTATCAGACCACTTCCAACCAAAACCAACACTGGAATTGACAACTCTTCCTCCAACCCAACAGCCATTAACAATTTGGCCACACAGCTGTTTGCCAAAGCTTAGTTCTTGAGATGATGTTAGTGCTGCCAAGTGTCCACCGTAGCTACCACAAAGCACCTCTGACTCATCCCATGACAAGGTCTTTTCTATGTATTTCAAGCACTTATTCTTACTTGGACTGATATCCCAGCCAGAACGGCACCATCCTGTGAACCAGAAAAATTAACTTCTAATGTAGTAGTAAATAGCTTGCTCTAAATGAAATCATGCATGCTTAATCAAAATTCATTTTTGCTTTCTTTGTATGCAATGTTTTGAAATATGACATCTATATTTGAGTTTAGTTTAAATTTTTTTAAATAACTTAACCCATTGTTTACTTAGCAAGATTTATAAATAGTTAATGATATTCATGAATGTGCTTGAGAACTCCTTTGAAGTCGATTTCAAATGACACCGTCTTATAAGAAGAGTGAAATCTAAACCCAAATAAGTGTTTTTTCATATTCATGAAACTAACCAAATTCATGACTCTAACCAACTATAGAAACCAATTTATTATCAAATCCAAACCTCACATTTCAAAATTCCTCCACCAGAACACAATGTTTTAAAAATTTTTACAAGAAACGTTTGGCATGCCAGGACATATAGTACTTCTGTCGAAACTTGATGAGAACATGGAACACATGTTAAAACATCAATTGCACAAAACTTAAATCCAATAGGCCGCCTCTTTTCTTCTGTGAGTCAATAAATTCTGCCGAGCTATTTAAGTGAAGTCCTTTCCAGGTTACATTTACATATAATTACTGCTCATATTTATAAGGCATAGCTAATAGCTTGGAACCTTGCAGTCTAATGAAAATAGACTCCACATAAGTATTAGTGGTCAATGTTTTAAGTAGCAAAGAAATAATTGCTTTCGCAAGAAGATTTAAAGAGTTTCTAGATGGTTAAGCAAATTATCAAAGGAAAAACAGAATTTCACTGCCAAAACTTAAGAAAACTGCTCATATTGATTGAAAGCTTCATTCTTTTCCAATTTCATTATCAATACAGAAGAAGAAATGAAATTCGAAAGGAGATGGTAAAAAGGAAATGTTGATGAGGTCATCATAGCTGCGAGTCTTGTTGTCTCATAGAATTCCATGATAATAAGTTCTTTATGTGTTTTCTGACATTTGAATGTCGTGGAGTTTCAAATATTTTCATGTATGTACTTGAATCTTTCGACATTTTTTGACACACAGTTCCTCTGATACCATTATACCTTGACTTTCATAAAGAATCTGAAACCCGGTTCCCATCATTTTTGTACCAAATAACTTGGATTTGAGAAAAAATAATGAATTATAAGCTTTCTGAAAGTTTTGGCTCATTATGCGTCTTGGTAAGATAACAGAAACTAGGAAAACGAACTCAATCTTCAACAAGGATGAGCAAGTTATCCCATTTTTACACATTTAAGATTCCCATCCATATTCAGTTTCTTCTGGATGATATAAATCATTGCAGCTATTCCAAAAGCGACTCTTAGAATAGGTACTTTCATTCCAATGAGATACTATGTAATCTTTTCATTAGCCCAAAAAAAACAAGTATATCTCAACTAAACTATCAAATAGCTCTAAATATTTGTAATGCAAGAGAAGCACAACTACTCACACCTTTACTGCTTTCGTTCTTGGAAGCTACCACAGTACCATGACCCGTGTCATTAGATATCTAAAAAAACAAAAATTAAGATTCAGAATAAAAATCACAGAGCAAAATGCTTTGATTCTTAAAACATTTTTTTTGGTAAGAATTCATTCTTAAAGCTTTAATAATACAGTAAAAATCTTTGACAAAAGTTAGAATTTCATAAGCTTACAGTTTCAGAGGCCACAAACTGGAGCACAACAAAAGCAATCAAAACCAAGCAAAATTGTAGAGGTATAAGTTTCAATTCCATCACAGCTCTTTCCCAAGCCCTAGACAGAAATATTTATTAATTAAAAAATTGTATATCAGTAATTGGTAACTAACAAGCAAGAACTCAACACAGGGTGAAAAGAAAGTTACCCAATTGAACAACAAGCATACAAATTTAAAAATTAAACAAATAAAAAAAAAACAATAACAAAAAAAAAACCCTAACTTCTTTTTGGCCACCAAGAAAAGAAAAATTGTAACTTACCAGAACAACAAAGAGTGGAGTGAAATGAAATGGGTCAGCCAAAATTACTCATACTGATGCTTTGAAAATTCTGTGAGAGAAAGAAAGAGGAAGAAGAAGATGAAGCTATAGTGCTGGACAACGTGTACATGTGTATGTTGTTTGGGGTGGGGGGGATAGTAATGGTGCTTGACAAAGGTAGAGTCAGTAAATTGGGAGGACTTTATGGAGGTAGTTAGGAGTTTCAAAGGATGGGAGCAAACAAGACATTGACTGCCTCGTTTCTACATTTTGTCAAACTTTTCCTTAAATGATTAAATGCATTTTTTTTTTCATTACAGGCACTTTATTCTTTAAATATTTTTTAATTTCATAAACAATTTTAATTTAACCGATAATAATGACTAAAATATTTTAATCAAATTATGAAGCCATGATATTTAATAAAATTTTCAATTAGCAACAATATATTTTTTTAAACCGGTGATTTTAAGAACCATAGTGTTTAAATATCCGATACAATAATTATACTCGTTTAGATTAGATCTTTAATTTAAAATTTATTTTTATTTTATTTTATTACTTTTATCCTGATGTATGATCAGAATCATTTTTATTTTAATAACAATTATTATTTTAATAACAATCATCTGAAAATGAAAAATGAAAAATGAAAATGAAAGTAATGGCGATAACCAAAGCCTGGTGATTTAATGAATGAGCTCTTGCCGATAATGGACAGATGATGATAGGAAAGCTATGAGGAACCTGAAAAGCCTAAACTCTTCATGTAAATCTTATGTGCAAAATAGTGGGCCAGCTAACAATTTTTTATTCATTCCTTCCAGGCACGATTCGTGCCATGTATCACTGCCCGCTCGTTTTAGTACATGTATAATTTTTTTTCAAAATAGAATCTAATCCTAGAAAGGCAAAGGACCCGACCCGGTTGCTGGAGGCAAGTCGGCGAGGTTTCGTTCCATTTACATTTTCCATTTAGCGGTAAAAACAGCCCTCTGTTCTCTGTATTCCGAAGCAAGCGAGATTGTTAATTGTTATCAAAATCTATGGAAGAAGGCATGCTTCCCTCTCGCTCTAATCGCAAGCGCCCTTTTTTTGAAGACTTAGAAGACGATGACTCCAATAAACCACCCAAGTACTTCAATTTCCTTAACCTTTCCTTCTCTCTCTCTCCTTCAATTTCTTCAGTTCTCTATTTCTCTGTAAAAATTGAATTATTTTTATTTTCAGGCAAAAGAAAGTTAGATTTCCCAAAGGAAAGAAAGTGAAGCCTGGAGATGAAGAAGCTTTAGCAGATGGACCAAAAGTTGAAGATGTCCCGTTAGATATAAAAGATCCTCGCGTTGCTGCGAAGGAGCGTGCAAAGCGCCGGAGTCAAATCACGGTTGAACTGTTTAATGAAGAAACCAATGATGTTTCAACTGCTGAAGTCTCTTATGAGGTTGGTTGTTAGTTTAATCGTCACTTACAGTCTTTATCGTATTGTTTTGCTATATGGAGTTCGTTTTGATGGTTAGTTTTATTTTTTTGTTGTAAATATATGTGGATTTAGGGTTTGAAGGTGGAAGCTTTTTGCGTGCTTCTAGATTTGAAATGGTTTAAAATCTAGGTCTTTTCTTGGGTTATGAATTTTAAATCGTATAGCTGATTTCTTTGGCCGGAAATTTGTGGGCTTTTGATGGGTAAGTTGTTGTACTATAGCATTTTTAAGTACATGTGAAGTTTGGTAGTGCCAAACTGCAAATAAGCAAGCAAATGGCATATCAACTAATTCAGAATATAAAAAATCTAGTTTTCATTGACTGCATAAACCTAGTTTCTGTGAGATAAATCTCATTTGTAGTCCCATTTACACTCTTATTGAGTGTCCTATAATTAGGAATACTTACTTTCATCCTTATTGACAACATTTTCTTTCAGTCAAATTATGTATTGGATTCATCAGTAATTGGGACAAAGGAAAGGATAGCTTGTGATCGGGGATTTCTTTTGGCAGGATAATGAGACTTTTGTTGAAGATGGGATTCAAATTGAACCATTTAATCTTGAGCAAGAAAGGGAAGAAGGCTACTTTGACGCGCAGGGAAATTTTGTTGAATATGTCCATGAGAAGGAATTCAAGGTAAATCTTTGGCTTGGTTAGAGTAAACTCATCTTTCACTTTGGGGCTAGATTTGTTGATGTTCACGTGAATTCTTGCAGGATGCGTGGCTTGATAGTGTTGAAGTTGATCCAAGATATGCCAGTAAAAGCTCTATGGAAGCAGTTGAGAATGATGATAAAAATGATTCTAGTGACCTTTCATCTGAAGACATTGGAATAATAAAGAAGCGAATTGCCAACTTGCTGGAGCCAGGGGAAACGGTAGACCTGATTGCATCTTATTTTATGTTTTTTTTATTTTTTTCCCCTTTTTGGGAGTAATCTTTTGTCTGATTGATTTGCTTGTTGAAGACTTTGAAATATTAGTGGCTGTGCCTTATTTTTCTTTCAGTTATGCTAGTAACAATTTTGTCTTTGGTATCATGCTTGTGTTCCTGGAACACAAGTTTGCTGTATAACACTGTAGACTAACCTTAAGTTAAGTTTGCATTTCAAAGCACCAGGTTTATGTGACTTAACCAATAGAGCCTTAAATTAATTGTCCATTTAATGAATATTAGAACTTATCAATATTTAAAATTGCAGAGAGCTTGTCAGAATGGATCCTATATTGGATATACTTGCATTTGTTGAGGCCTTTTTGAGAAGTTAAATTTTGTAAGCCAGACTCTAAATACTGGATAGATTGAATAGACAAATGTCTATGGCATAACAATTTTCAAGATAAAAGTGATCCTGAGTCGTTGATGTGTTACTATCTGTACATCAAAGTGAACGAATGTTCTGGTAACTTTTACTTGTGGACAGAAGATTTATGACTTCACTAACATGTGTAACATTGCAATGTGCTCATTCTGGTAACTTTTACTCATGGACAGTAGATTTATGACTTCACTAGCATGTGTAATAGCGGATAATTGGGCACTTCCCTGTGAATGTGAAAATGTTGTGGTTGATGCTATCTTGATATAGCAGTATACTTCTATAATAAGCAGTCTAGAACTGTGGAAGGAGTGTAAATTTGCAATTTGTAAGATCTAATTAGGATTTCTGAATGTGTTGTTGCGGCAAGAAATATAGTTTCATTAAAGAAACTGAAGGCATAGACAAATTTTCTTTGCTTAGGCAAGCTGTTTATGTCTTCAGAAAAATTTCCTTGTTTTTGCATGGCCTTTCTAGCAGAATAAGAATGTCAGTTGAGATTTTATTTTATCTTCATCATTTGTTAATTATGATGTTGCACACTGTCTCCTTCGTAGCAGCTAGTGGTATGATTTTTTTTTTTTTTTGGCTGACAGGTGTTACAAGCTTTGAGAAGGCTGAAGGGTGGTTCAAATAATAGGAAAGAGAAGATGTCAGCCGAGACGCAGCGTCTATTTGACCAGCTGACTGAAGATGCAAACAAACTGTTGGAGCAGGGAGAATACAGTTAAGTGTGTTACTTGAACTAATTAGTTCCTTGGAGGTCAAAGTACCTTTTGAGATGATAATGTCCTTAGTTTTTGTTTTATCTTAATATCTCTTTATTTTTATCCCTCTCATTTGTGCTATTTTCTCACCCTCCTCCCTAATGTTCACATTGGAGAATTTACTATTTACTCATTTAAGTATCTGCTGTGCAGATGTTTATCATGACAAAAAAGAGGTTTTCAAGCGTGAGGCAGGTTGGTGTGATGTTTATTAGTTTTCCTTTCTGTATTATCTTGTTATGCTTTTTTCCTTTTCTCTTTTCTGATACTTAGTTTCAAATAATCTTGTATTCTTTGAAAATCAGGAAGTAGTTATATCATGCGGCACAATATAAAACTAATGCACTGGACTAGCTGGATTTTGTTCTTGGATCTTATTGGATGATTTTATATGCTTTTTGCATGCCAAATAGTGGATGCATCTTGTAAATTCTGAGCTCTTTTTATGGCCGATGACCTATCTTCACAGCAAAAGCATGTCTCTATGTGCAATCCCCTATTTTCCTGTGATATCTCTTTTTTCATGGCCAGAGCAGTCCCTCATATCTAACCAGTCACTTCAATAACAGTACCCCATCATCTGCCTGCAAGCCTCCCCGAGAAATCAGAGATTGCAAGGTGTAATGTGTTGTTTAATTGCATGCATATTGGATTCAACATAATCCGAAGAATGTTTTTATGATCAGTAATATCAATACTAGAGTTCTTTGTTTCTCTATACTGTAATATTCGAATTTTCTTTTTGTCATTTGGAAAATTTTACCTGACGTCGGTCCTTCTATGTAAATAATAGATTATAGATCATAGATAGATATGACTAATTCTCTATCCTTGGATTCTTAGCTTGACTTGCTATTGAGTGAGAATAATTCATCATTAGCTCATGCTGAATATCTCATGTTTTAAGTGTGATTATTATTTTTTAAACGAGAGGGTCTTCCATTAAGTATTAACTTTAGTGCATTGACCTTTCATGAATGCTATTTCCTTGTTTGTGATTATTTGTTACATCTGTTTGTTATCTTCTTTAGAAGGATATGAGAAGTTGGCTGTAGCAAGGGGCAAGGGCATATCTCTAACTGCTGGCCAGGAGATTTCTGATTACAACATGAGGGCGGACTTATCCTCTGATGTAACAGAACTTGGAGTAACCACCTCAAAATTGTCCAATGTGGATGTGGGTGTTTCAAACATGAATGTATCTGCTGCAGAAACGTCAGGCAATGGTGCTGATGCATTTGATATGTTTGCGGATGATGATGATAATGCTAGTGCTGGACCGTCCTCTAGCAATAGTACTTTGGTTTCTGGCCCTAATTCTAATGGATTCAGTCAACCATCATCAGATGGCCAGAACTCCGCCTCTGAAAGTAAGAACTTACTGATGTTTTCTTTCCTTGAGAAGTTTCATGGATGATTGATGATTTATATTTTTATTGTACTATTATTTTTTAACGTGCGTTGCACATTATTTGTACTAGCTGAAACTCGTTGCATTTACTATTTTAGAACATATAAAATAAATAAATTAAAATATAACGTTTAATTGTGTAATGAATTTCTAAATAAGAATTAATAGATAAAAATCAGTTTCTTCTAAAAAAAACATAAAATTTAGTTAAGAGATTAAGAGTAAAATAATTTACTAATATCTCTGGAAACAAAGGAGAATGATAAAGCAAAGAATTTTTATTAATTGAACTCTATTAACCAATTGTAGTTAATCAATATATATAATGGTCAAGGAAGGGAGAGAAAGGAATCTAGTTACAATAATTAAAAAAAATTATATGCATACATGCATTTCAAATAATTCTCATCGTCGTCTAAGAACGTAATATATGTCTTGACTGGAGAGCTTATGTGTTCCATCATTGTATTAGAAGAAATCTTTTTTCTTAAGGCTCAAAAGAGTCCAAAAAAGTTAGTCTAAGTTCATTAAACAAATTATTTATATTAGTCTAAAGAAATAGACTTACTGTAGAAGTAGCAACGAGGTTTTTTAATTTTTCTCTTATCTTTTTTCTCTGGGGTTTATTTCTTATCGAGGTAGCAATATATTCTTTAATTTTCACCAAGTTTTCTTATTTTTTATTTTTTATTATTTATTCTTTAATTTTTCAAATATAAAATTAAAATCTTTACAATTATTTTGTCATCTCTAATTTTAATAAGAGTATCTTGATTAATCCCAACATTTTTCTTTCTTATTCCTACTTTTTATTCACTAATAAAAATCCGTTGCAAATTATAACCTAAGGCAGAAACCTTCCATTGCTAAGAGTTGGCTGAAGGCTTTATAAACGGATTAGCAACGGCTTTTTTATCTGTTGCTAAAATATAACCTAGATTGATAACCTATTCAGCAGAAACCTTAAACTCGCTCCTTATTATGAATCTTTAAATTTTTTATTTTTTTTTATTTTTGGATATATATATATATATATATGTAAGTTGAAAGAGTAAGATAGCTATAAGAATTCTAATATTTAAATTATAATATTTTTGTTTGTATAGGAATCCTAATAAAGTATCAACAAAATTAAAAGTTTTTTAATTAATAACAATGATATTTTTAATTAACCAATAAAATTAAAAGTATGGCGTTTTAGGGACCCAATGTTCCCTCCCCCCTCCCCCCCAATTCGTACTTTTATATATATTATAGATAAGATGATATTTTCTTGAAAATAATTTGTCTGGATCAGCATGAATGCTTCTTTGGTTGGCTTAGTTTCTCTTATGCGTTCTAATTTCTTTGTCTGCAGCAGGAGCTTTGCAAGATGATTACGTGTATGACGAGACATCTCGGTACTTTCTCCCTCCTTGTCATATACACACAAATACATATCGAAACTATTTTACATTTTGATCATTGACGTATTTCCCACCTGTTAATGGACAGTCTTTCATATTTATAGAGGCTGTGGGAAATATCACTCAATAGCTTGTTCACTGGTTATTTTAAACTTTAGAAGGTTGTGAATGCAGGGGCTTCTAGGTCTAGCACTCATTGCTGAGAATTGGTAGACTTTTGAGATAAGTTTGATATGGTGTGAAATATGCTGGAACAATGTGCCATTGGGAATATATATTCCAAGAGGTGGGAATACATTGTTCTAATATAACTGCTAAAGAATCTAATATACGTAAGGGATGGGACTTTATCATTATTGCTTTTTTCTTATGGACAAACAATGCGGTTCTTTGTTATGAGTTTTGGTTAGCTGTTGCAGAGGACATTCTTGTACTCAATTTCCTAATTGACCGATCGGCATTTATGTTATAACAATTGCTGCTTCTTTTTTTTCTTTTTGGTGATTTTTGGGTTCTTTCTATTGCCAAGTTAATTCCATCTTCCAAATATTCTGCACTTTTCTTATTTTGGGACTGGTTCAAACAATGAATCTTGTTCACAGTTATTTTTTCTTTCTCAACACAGCTTCATAGGTTATAAGTTGGGTTTCATTAGAATGTTGACGTCATGCTAATAGTTTTTCTCTTTATTTCTCAGGTACTACTATAGCAGCAGTTCAGGTTACTATTATGATCCATCAACGGGATTGTACTGCTATGCATCATCTGGGACGTGGTAATTAACTGGCAATCTAATTTTATTTTCTTGATTTACCTTCCAGTTTATTCACTCCAAAAACTTGCATGTCCATAATTGTCTTCAGCACATTTCTCTGGCTACTTGGATACGGCGGATCCATTTCAATTTTCACCCTGCAACTTATTTCCAATAGACTCTAGTTCCGCCTAAAATGCATTCATTCCTCGTACAATTTTTCCAGTATGAATATACTCATTCTTTATGTGGCCCTTTCTAGTATATATACACACACTCGTCTTTAGGTCAATTAAACTTGTTTGCTGAATGTTAGAACTAAATAGCAGAGCAGAATGGAAACAATGAATTCATATAGCTGACCTCAACTAATTTGAGACTAAAGTAGTTGTTTTATTATCATTGAATGTTACTGATATAATTACGTGAATATGACTAATTCAGAACTTATAAATCATTGTTTTTCACCTCCCTAAGATTAGTTTTAAGATCAATTGTGTGTTCCTTTACTTGTTCTTCTAAGTTCTTATAGTGTTAATTTAATTTATTTAATTTTACTTTATTTTTCCCCCTTTCATTTCCAATATTAGTTTCTTTTAGTTTGTAACCATATGAAAATATAAAATAAATAAACAAATAACAAATAAAGGATCAGTATTTGTCTTCATGATGCGTTTGTTTTTATTATTTTAGGGTCTTAAGTAATTCATTTATCTTTTAGCTTATAAAATGCACCAATTGAAATATGAAGAAAAATAAGTTAATCAAAGTCAAATGAAGATTTTGTTTGATTCAGTTTATTTTTCTTTCCCATCTAATTTGGTTTTAACATTGTCTGTAAATATATAAATCCGGCGAATCCTTAGCAATTGAATGAGATACTTAAGGTCGAAATGTTTGTTTTAGGTACTCGTTCAACGAGGAGACAGGCACATATGATGAGATCAATGAAGTAGCAAATGCAAATTGAAGTAAACAATTGCTGCTCTGTAGAGTTTGTATATAGGCTATCAAGGAAAACTGTTGTATGATGAGAAACTGGATTTAAAATTTAATTTTGACATAGTTACCTTTATTTAACTTGAAGAACTGAGCCTTTCACTGAGCTAATACTTTTTGTAATGTGAAATTGAGAATGTTTTTCATTATTGCATAAGATTTTAAAATCTTAATGATAATATTTTATTGTTCTCTGCTTGACTTGATTATAAATTGATGGCAGTTAGTTACGGTGACGGCAAGATAATATTAAGGTTATGGTTAGTTGGATGGTATTTGGTTTGGAGACTAGATGTTTAGGAAAATATAAAAGGAATAATTTTTTTATTGTCCGAAAGATGGGTCAGAGTTCAATCACCTGTCATTTTTATTTTTATATTTAGTTTACGCTAATATCTCAATCTTTTTTTCTTTTCAAACTGTAAATTGTGTAGTAATGTAAATAATATTAAAAGCAATAATATTTTATTTTTTTCTTAGTCCATTACTCAAATAATATATAAGGCAATATGCCATTTCTAATATATAATTAACAGAATGGGCAAACTATATATCGATTACAATGTAAAATGTGATTTCCATTTATTTTTGATAAAATATTTTGTGAAATTTTTGCATGACAATTCATGCGTTTTGTGAAAGGAGGCTGGTGTTGCTGCACAACATAATAATTATATGTCGAAAGTCATTCTTTATGTTATGATAATCACATTATTGGTGTTGTTTAATTATTTTTTTATAAATATTATGTTTAAATAAATTATTATTTAGCCTAATTCATAATTGAATTTGTATTTTTCTTTTAGAAAATGAAATAATTCTTAGGCTTAATTCTTTTACTGCTGTAAAGTTTATTGTAATTAACCCTGGTCAAAAGATGTTAATTAAGTATTGAAAGGAATAATTTGGTTTTCAAATTTAGGAAAAAGCTCAACTTTAATTGTGCTTTCGATTCTTCTTAGAAACCAAATTAGAATGAGAACTGCACAATTTTAGCATTGTCATTGACTTACCGTTAACACATTTTAGACTCAAAACTATATTATTATTGAATTGGGTCAACATAGAACAAGGTAAGGTCTATTCCGCAATATTAGTTGCTTTAGTAATTGGTTGTAGTAGCTATTAGTTGTTAGTTATTAGTTATTACTTTCTCTGTCCTAAAATAGAAATCGTTTTTGGACGATTATTTTGTCTCAAAATATCATCATTTTGAGTATTTTAAGAAATAATAAATAAATTTTTTTCAATATTATCTTTATTTACATCAGATACAATAATTACCTTCACAAGTTATTTTTGATCAACCTTTCTATTATGATTCTTGACAATAATTACCTTTCATAAATTGAAAACTTGAAATCTCTTACAGAACTCTTTATCCATAAACTCCTTTGAAAACAAAGCTGATTTTACTTTTTCCAAAGTGATAGCTATCTTACTAAAGATTAGAGTATCTCTAAAATTCTTATAAGACTAGAGGTAAAGAGCGAAGCAGCATAAGAACTTGATCTTCATGATCATATTCAATATCCATGTTTTTCAAATTCATCAAAATCGAACTAAATTCATCGACATGAGATTTTATGGAAGCATCTTCTGCCATAGTAAAAGCATATGCTTCGCAACTAATTTTGTTGTGAGGTTCTTTGTCAAATACAGCGATTCAAACTTGCTCCATAACCTCATGTGATAGACATACTAAATGGCAGATAAGAGTCTTTTTATCTAATTCCTTTTGTCCTTCAATCTTTTCCTTTAACTGTCGCTCTTGAGAAAATTATTTCTTTAATTTTTAAAGTGGAAAACTTAAGAAGATTGGACACCACTGTATGAGAGCATTTTTCCTTCTCTAAAAAAATTGCATGAAATGGTCTATCATAGTTCAAAAAGTTCAAATAAAGAGGAAGTGATACCATAAAGAACCATTTGCTAGAAGATTGCAATAGGAAACTAAAAATATCAAATGGCAAATGGGACATCATAAAGAAGAGACATTTGCACAAAAGTTCTCTATATTTCTCTCTTTCTCTCTAAGGAGCTCCCTATATAAATAAGAAGAAGAAGAAGAAGAAGAAGAAGAAGAAGAAGAAGAAGAAGAAGAAGAAGAAGAAGAAGAAAAAAGAAGAAAAAAAAAAAAAAAGAAAAGAGACATTTGGCACAAAAAAAGTTCTCTATATTTCAATCCTCTTCGCTTCTCTAGAAGAGGCTCCCTATAATATAAGAAGCGAAGAAGAAAGAAAGAAAAGAAGAAAGAAAAGAAGAAGAAGAGAGATAGGAAGAAGAAGTAAGAGAGAGAAAAAAAGAAAGAAAAAAAAAATGCACAATATAAGGGAAGAAAGAAAGGCGATCAGGAGGAACGGAAGAAGAAGAAGAAGAAGAAGAAGAAGAAGAAGAAGAAGAAGAAGAAGAAAAAAGAAGAAAAAAAAAAAATGCACAAATAAAGGGAGAAAGAAAAGGAGAACGAAAGACAAGAAGCAAAAGGGAAGAACTTGTTGCTGCTAGAACATGAAGCTCTCTCAAACGCAATGGTCTAAATCTTTCATATTCTTCAAACTTTCAAAATCAAAGAAATATTTTCTCACTTTGAGCCGTATTTAAAACCTTTCTTTGATATGAAACCATATTAATCCCCTTTACCCATTACAATCTTGAAAATACCTTTTAATTCCTTAAAGTTGTGTTCCCTTCATTTGTAGAGAAAGCATTGGGAAATTAGCTTATGGGATTTGGAAATTAAATCCTATATCCACCTCTCAATACACCTAGCACACGTTTTTCTCCAAGGGCATATTTACATTCTCCTAAGTTCATCTATTCCTACATGATTGAGGTAATTGTTGTTCAAAAGAACATGAACTTAGTTGAGTGTGTCGAACCCTTCTTTGAGCATGATAGAGCTTTAGAATTGATCAATCTCATAATTGAAGTTTTCCTTGAAATTCATATGTGAGTATGAATTGAGCTGAAAATTTTCATTCATTGCATAAAGGATATTTTGTATTGCTTGGGGACAAGCAACGGTCCAAGTGTGGGAGATTTGGATAACAACAAAATATGCATGTATTTTATCATTTGTTTTAATTAAATTTGGCTTCATTTTGAATATTAAAATAAGAATATTGTTGGCACATGAGTAACATCAACATTTGCTATTATTGTCCAAAAATGGACAAATTCTGATCCATTTAGCACCTAATCAATGCAAAGAAAGCCCTTGAAGTCTTATTGCTTATGAAGTCCAATTGATGCTCTTAATAGCCAGACAAATTCAAGGTCCAACGCACCTTCAGCCCAAGAATTTCAAGTTGAGGAAAGAGATTGTCTTTTCTATTGTTTGAAGATGGAGTGTATATATTATATTCAAGCCAGTGAAGTTTCCACACAAGCCTCCTTCTGACGGTGCTTCTTGAAATGCTCTATTATCAGGAATTTGACCTTCCAATTCATTATAGGAAAGCTCAACTAATATCAGACGATTCTTGACCAATTTCCCCAGTTGCCGAATGAGTTCCTAATAGGATCTAGCACAACTTGTAAGTACAAATTCCCAAGTTCAGCATGAATTTCTTCGCAAAAATTTTTGTTGCTCAAGTTCAAGTACAACATTTTCGAGCAATCACCAAGTTGTTTGGGTACCTTCCCAGTTAGATTGTTTGCTGCTAGATCAAGATGAGCAAGATCAAGCAACATTCCATGTTTCTAAAGGAATATATATTGCCAGAAAGGTTGTTATTGCTCAAAGTCTATAAAATGCAGAAGCGTTAACTCTGCAAGTTCTGGTACTATCACCAGTTTTATCAAAAAAAAAAAAAAAAATGTTATAAATACTATATGATATAATAGATGTCCATTAAGTTTATTAAAGAAATTATTTACCTTCTCCAAAAATTATGTGCTTTGGAATAAAATGTTGTCTTTTAGAATGAAAGGTTATATCTTTTAGTGTGTAAGGTTATGTCCTATATATTATATTTTATATTCTATGAATAGTTCTTTAATTCTGCAGATTAGGTAACTAAGATTTTAATATAAGAATTCAATTTCTCTATACTCTCTCATATTCTATCTATTCCATTTCTCTATATACTCTCTATTTCTTATATTTCATAACACGTTATCAGTTTACTATTTCGATTTTTATTCTATCGCCCCCTTAATCGAAATCACTTAAAGAAATGATAACTTATAATTTGCGATAACCAAAATTAAGTATTGTGTGTTTGGATTTGTTAACACTCAAAAGATAATTTGCTGTATGATTTACAAATTATATTACTGTAATTAGCTTATAATCTAATTTGAGGTGATAGGAAACATAAGTTTTAATTTATTCGCTGTGTGTATGTATTAAATACATATTTTTAAAAAAAAAAAATTGAGGAAGGCATTATGATTCTTTAATTTTGGTTTAAAATATAATTGTGAGATGGAATCTCTATATGATCATGATTGACAACACCACATTATTTATTCAATTTTTATATATTAAAATCAACATCGAATTTTTATATACTTATGTATATCGAAATTATTATTCTTATTATTTGGCAGATTACTGTCCATCATTATACATGGATGTGATGTTAATTTGTGGGAATTATTAATTAATTCATCTATTCTTCGTACGCCTTTAATAATAAATACATGATGGATTTGTTATTTCAACGCATAAAGTTATGTTTTATATTTGAAAATTACAACTATTCAACTGTGATATTCTTAGTTTCATAATTTTATTATTACTATTATTATGAATCGTGGATAATATTTAATACTTTTGAATATGCTCCTGCAGTGGCATTATCTAAAAAAAAACCTGTTTTAATATATTGATTGTGAATTTTAAATTAGTTTAGTCTTTTGTTATTGAGTAAAACTGTGCTCTTAATTCACATAATAATTGTTTTCATTCTCTGAAGTAAATGAAATGGTATATGACAATATTGAACATAAAAAAAAAAAAAAAAAAAATAAATTAGTTTATAGTCTTATTGTATTGAGTAAACAGCTGTTGGCTCTTTAATTCACATAATAATTGTTTTTCATTCTCTGAAGTAAAATAATGAAAATGGTATATGAAGCATATAAAATTGAACATAAAAAAAAAAAAAAAAAAAACAATGGGCATAGTTTATAATCGTGATTATAAGAGATGCAATGAAATGAAACTCATTCAAATTTGGACAAAAAAAAAAAAAAAAAAAAAACAATGGCATATTTATAATCGTGATATAGAGATGCAATGAAATGAAACTCATTCAATTGGATTTATTTTATTTCCTAAAGTGAATGCAATAGCATATAATATTGAGTGTGAGCGTTAATAATGACAATAATATTTTTGTCATTGAGAATGTTAATAAGATCATATTGAAATATTGATCTTTGTAACTATGGTAACCACAAGTAATCAAAGTAAATTTCACCACTAGAAGTGGCAAAAGATAATATTTATTATGTACTTGTTGTACACCAAAATATAAAAAAACAAATTTTGACTTTCATACTAAAGAATTATTAAAAGCCCTTGAAGAGCAAATATTATTATTGCAAATATTTTTATTATACGTTCATATATTATATATTATTGTCTCTTTAAGCTTGTAGAAATTTGTTTTAAGGATATTTGCAGAAATAAATATTATATAAAGATAATAATTGTAATCAACGTAGAAGCAAACTAGAAGTTTACAATTTCAAATATTTTTATTGTTTGACAATGATTGACTAAACTATCTCGGATCAATATTGATGCGAAAAGAAATTAAATCTTTATATAGATATTTATCAAAGAACTAGAAATTTCTTCAAATCTAATGAGTTTTAATATTCGTGTTCTCAAAGCAATTTTTATGAGAATAAAGCTTCTTATTTATGTATAAGGATATTACTATTATATATAGTGATAATTATTCGCATTAAGCCAACAAGTTTCATAGACGAATTTGTTGATTGTTATGAATCTCGATATTAGGGGGAGAGAATAAACAACTAAAAATGCTACTAACTGAAAATGATTATTATTATTAAATTTTTATCCTCTCACAAGGTTGTATGAACTAGAAGTTCAAAAGATAGTTATTATCTATGTTAATAAAGCTATTGCACGCTTGAAGCGTAGTAGATTGATCAGTTCCAAGGACAAGAATCATCGAAGATCATAAGGTACAAATATGTTATATGTGCAAATTTTAGAAAGAAAAACTCTAGAAAAGTAGACTCTAGAAAAGACCTTAGACATGACTGATAAATTTTCAAAAGAAATTTAAATACCTGAAATCAATGAATTCGATGAAAATAATGAGATCTCGATAAGTTATATCATGTCGAGAAAAAGATGTAATCAATATAAAATAAATATTGACAGTATTTTTAGATATACTATAACATTTATTACTGTGACAAATTATAAGAATCTTGAATATAAGATAATTAAATATAGACACCAAATAATTGGCCAAAATTGAGTGACACAATTGAGATATAATTTATTTGAAAAAGTTTCTATAATCCAAACATTAGAAAATTGCAAGCCAGTGAAATATAATTAGATATTTATGCAAAAGTGAAATAGAAAGAGAATGAGTTTGAAATATAAAAGTCCAACTTTGTTGCATAAAATTTTCACAAAGCATTTCTATATGGATTAAAAAATTTTGGACTAAAATAGTATAATCGCCTTGAAGTTATACATGGCTAAGCAAATATCATGACATATATATAGTTGCCAAAGCATCTTGTGATCTATGATGGAAAACAAATATATGATGCGATTGATCATGTTTCCATTTTTCTTTTATGAAGTATATGAAAATCTCGAAGAATTTAAAATGTCTGAAGCATGTAAGTCAAATTTTAGAGAATTATACAATCGCCTCAATATATATCTAAGAAATGATTAATTTTATCCAATTTGTCCATGTGTTTTTATAAATAGGTCAATATTTGAATTTATTGTTATTGCTATGTATGTTGATAATATAAATCTCATTGAATCCCAGTAAAGCTCGTGAAGTATTTTTAAAGAAAGAATTTGAGATGAAAAAAATATAAAATTTGTATCTCGTCCTGAAAAGCAAACATTTTATAAATGGAATTTATATGGTGAAAAATAAATATATGACATGATTCATCATATTTCTATTCTTCTTTGCTAAAATATATGAAAGTCCCTGAAGGATTTAAAATAATTGAATCATATAAAAGATCTTTGTATGGATTAAAGCAATCTAGGTGCATGCGGTACAATCATTTCAGTATATATATGACAAAGGAAGGGTACATAAATGATCTAATTTGTCCATGTGTTTTTATAAAGAGGTCAACATTTGAATTTATTGTTATTGTTGTGTATGTTGATAATAGAAATCTCATTGGACTCCAATAGAGCTCCAAAATGCCGCGAAGTATTCAAAGAAGGAATTTGAAATGAAAGAATTTGAATATACAAAATTTTGCTCGCCCTGAAGAACATTTTATACATGGAATTTATTTCCATTAATAAATACATATAATCCAAAAGATTGAAATGATTGTCTATAAATAAAACTCATGCATTAACGAAACTGGTAATTGTGAGGTCAAAAAATGAGATAAAGAACTAATTTCGACCTCAAAAAATGATAAAGAACTCTTTATTTTTGAAGTACTATATCTTTTTGCAATAATGAAAATACTATGTAATGAAAGAATTTGAATATACAAAATTTTGCTCGCCCTGAAGAACATTTTATACATGGAATTTATTTCCATTAATAAATACATATAATCCAAAAGATTGAAATGATTGTCTATAAATAAAACTCATGCATTAACGAAACTGGTAATTGTGAGGTCAAAAAATGAGATAAAGAACTAATTTCGACCTCAAAAAATGATAAAGAACTCTTTATTTTTGAAGTACTATATCTTTTTGCAATAATGAAAATACTATGTCTTGAAGTACCATAGTACTATACTGAGTATATATCTGAAGGATCATTATACTCATAATGATTGATATACGATTCACATTTCTTTATTAACGAAAGACATCACAGTTTATGAAGCAAGCAAGTAATGTGTCTGATTGAAATTGATATTTTGATATGTACAAAATACATACAGTCTGCTTGCATAGAAAACAAGCTCTATAATATTGTAAGAGATAATATTAAAATATATTATATTCTCTGAAGGAATGAGACACTAAAGGACAAGACAAGTAGTGATGTCTTTATCAAGGGGAGAAATAAAATTTTAAAACACAAAGAACACTGTCCACTGGCTTTTTTCCTAATAAAGTTTTAATGAAGCATATTCTTTGTGTAATGGACATCCAAAGGAGAATGTTATAAAAATATATAATATAATGGATGTCCACTAAGTTTATTAAAAAAATTATTTACTCTCCAAAATTTATGTCATTTAGAATAAAGGGTTATGTCCTTTAAGATGAATAGTTATATCCTTTAGTTTGTAAGGTTATATCCTTTAAAATGAAGGGTTATATCTTTTAATGTATAGGGTTATGTCTTTTGAATCATATTTTGTATCTTATAAATAGTTCTTTAATCCTTTGAATTAGGTAACTAATATCCTAATACAAAAAATCAATATCTCTCTACTCTTTCTATATTCTTTATATTAATTATATTTTCTATATTTTTATAACAATGAGATTGTACTTTACCTCTTTTTTTTTTCATCAATGAATAGTTTGAACCAAAATATTATTTTTTATTAATCCTTTTACAAGTCAATAGTTGAATGTGAATCCTCACAAAGATTTTTAAATTATTGTTACATGGTACTATAGAATAAGAAAGAGATAAGAATTTCTTATTATCTCAAGTTTGGAGGAAAACAAAAATGAAGTTTAATGGAATAACAAATCTTTCATTTACCTTCCTTTTCTAAATTCATTAAACTCCTAAACAAATTGTTGTGACTTTGCTGTTCTTTCTCTAAAATTAATTAGTTAGTGTTATCACAATTAGCATAATAACTCATACCATATTAATATTGCATATTACCATTTAGCGATTACATTTATTTATTCATTGCCGGTTATACGTATACAATTAGAATTGAATATAATTCTCGATTAAGATAAAAATTCAGATTGAAACCTTTCCTTCGTATAAAATAAAATAAAATAAAGAGAGACTTTGTCATTAGCTATGAATCATCCAATAAAATAGAAAGAAGTTGAAAACTTGAAACTCAAGAATTTTAATGTTCATATATGATCCAAGATACGACACAAACTATAGAACACACCCACATGAAAGAGACGGTATTACTCCTAGTACTAACAACACAAGAAACCTACAGCAATGGACATAAACATCAAAACGAAGTTAGCAACAATATTGCTTGAGGCTGAGCCGGCAGGTGGAGGTGGTGGGGGTGGTGGAGTGACGGTGGTTCCAGGCGGCAAGGGGGGGGAGGAGGATGTACCACCAACATTAACAGCTAATTTTTGACCAGTAGAACAGTGGCCAGGGAAAGTGCAAATGTAGTAGTGCATGCCTGTGGTGTTGAGAGTTACATTTGTTGGTCCATTGTTTATAATATTGAGAGGATTTGCAGTGTTACAATTATCATATGCATCCATAGTAACTGTGGCCACGTCATGTACTCCTGTCACAAAGTTGAACACTGCAATAACACCAAATTAAGTATTTATGTGTGTTAATTAATAATTATCACATGTAAATAAATAAAATGTCTATCTCAATTTTGTTAGTGAGTAGTGTATGATTTGAAGGACAAACAAAAAGAACATACTGAGAATGTCACCAGTGGAGAAGTTGTGAGAGGAAGCCCAAGAAGCATAGTGAGTGGAGTTAGAAGGATTTTGCCATCCCCCACCACCTCCTACGACATATACTGCACACTCTGTTTTATGCAATGCTAATAATAGCATGGCCACAACAGTTGCTACATTTCTCATATTCATTTCACCCACTCTTTTGCTTCTGTGAGACAAGTTCGTATGTGGCCATTGTGCTGCTTCTGTTGAATATATATAGACGACGAGGGGATATAATTGTCTTTGATGAAAAAAAAATTACTTGGTTTGATTTTGGGTCATTTGATCAAATGGGTTGGTGCCACGTGGACAGCTTGATTTGCTTGACTGGAATTTTTGTACTCTGGAGCAGTTGTTGAATGTCATCAAGCTCGGTATATATAATGCAATTTCCCAACTCTGAAAACAACCAAATCTCTTTTTTTTTTACTCTCTTTAATAATTAAAAAAAGAGATTTCAGTCATTAAAACACAATTGACAAGCATCCTGGAAGCTGCAAGCTGGTGAAATTGCTTGCACTTGATCTTTGAACTCTTCAAAAAATAGTGAATGCAAGAAACTATCAATATAATAAATAATTTAATGTTGAAGCATTTACCTTGCTATATTAATACTTAGGTCTTAATTAACCTTCAAATAATAATAGTAGTTAATTAGGTTTATAAGGTAAAAAGTATGAGGTGTAAAGTTATTCCTCAATGTTTAATTTTCCACATAGGGGTGACAAGTGATTCATGAAACACAAAGTCGACAAATACAAAATATAATGGAAAGGGAGACATCAAGAATGAGTAAAGAAGCTGACCAAAACCCACCACTTGCCTTTAAATAACTCTGGTCGGTTTTACAATATAATTTCCTTTTTGATTATCTAACTACTCATGCTCAAATGGATTCTGCTGCTGCAAAACAAATGGAAGGCAATGTTTATGGATTTCTAACTAGCAATTGCATGGCCACTACTCCAGTTCGCACATGAACCAGTCTGAGGAAAAGGGAAACAGACCCGGCTCGGAATTGGCCAGTATTTCAGTGGGGGAAAAAATTATCATCCGGAACAGACTGATCCTAGGGAGGCTTCATCTGTGACTTGCTGAGACTACAACAACTTAAAATTTGTAACGTATAACTTTAGTGCGGCAGTTCTGAAATAATCCCTTTTGCTGTAATTCCAGTTCAAACCCAGTGTTGAGCTTGATTGAACAGAATATGTGTGTCACTCGACTTTGTAGAAATAATGTAAACCCAAAAAGAAGCACCATGTACTCCAGAAAAGAAAGGTTCCATCCGGCAAAAACTAAATTTATATTTTCTGAGAAAGATAATGATCAGCTATTACTAGCAGATATCTTTATGCAAATAATATAATAATAAATGCTGTATTTTTAAACTTTATCAAGTAGCAGAATGGTATCAGACCTACAACTGGTTTTCCTCTAACATATAATGATGACCATTAACCGCACAACATCATTGTCTTAAAAATATTAGAGATGCCACAGCAGATATTGTCAATGTCAAAAAACAAGAACTGGAAAAACCTTGGTCTCGCACTGCCTGTACCATGCACATAAAAAAGAAGAAAATACAATTAATGAAGATTTAGCACTATATTGTAAATCAAGTTGTAGAGAAAATTTAAATACCACTATATACCGCTCCCATTCCTCCCCCACCCCCCACCCCCCCAACCCCCCTCCCTCCTTTTTATATCTAATGGGTTATTTGAAATGCTCAATGTATGCTGTGCTATTTTATATCCAATTTATGAATTTAGAATTTCAAGAGATTTAAGTCATGAAAATAGCCCATCCATTATACTCTTTGTCAAATAATACTTTGAATCAGAAAGGACAATGATTATCAACATCTTTACGCGAAAGACAGATTGGCCATAACATAAAAAAAATCATTGTCATGCACAACCATAACCATAATCAATCGGGACTCCTTCGCATTTTGGATTTAATCAGTACTTGGATAATAGTGTAGTCACTAAGTAATTCTAGAAGAAAAACAACAGAAGGGTGGACGATGACGGGGAAAGAAAAATGTACCACCTGTGTGCACATTGAAGAATAAGATCAACTGTGAGACATGATTTATAGTTTGACCTCGAAAATGACATATAATATCATGTTTAAGGTTGCTCAACAATCAAGCACTGATGGATGGAGAAAATTGTGTAATTACAATCATCCTTATCTATAATGTAAGTCCTAGCGGAATCATTAGAGGGATCTAATGTGGTATAGACTTCTTTTCCTCATTCTTTCCTTGTTTGAGCAAATTGGCCATACAAATAATAAAATGTTATGGAATTTGAAGGAATAGATTACAATTAGTAATTACTAGTAAAGCTGTATGCTGATATAGATAGAGACTAATTCAGAAATCAGAATTAGGCCAGGGATGCCACCCTCCTACTAGTGAAATTTAAATTTTGATGGCAAGTTCTCCTTAATGATTATACGAATGCCTATTCTAATTGATAACTTTCACTGCTGGAGAAGCTATATAGGAAAAAAAAAATGCACTAAGGAATGTTCAAACCATTTAGTTGTTCCCATAAAGGTGATCTTGAGAGATGTGGATCCGGGAAGTAGTTAAATGAGTTAAATACGGAATTTAAGGGGAATTGAGGTAAATTTTCAGTTTGAAAATGATGAACAACAGGATCTTAAGAAAGAATTGTCCAGTACTCTAAGGCTTATTTGTCGTTCATCCTTATAAGTTACTTCATATAGGGATTTAAAATATTTCCCTTTGTTTTTAGGTTTGCGTTGTGCTTAAAAATGCAAATTCAAAATTTCCTTCATATGCATTCTTTATTTACTCTATTAAAACCCAACAAAAACTCCACAATTAGATTTGAAAGCAATGCAAAAGGAATATCCACATTATGCAAAGACATGTTGAAACAAAGTAAGACATCATGACATAAATTTGCTGAATTTCCCGAAAATATATATATGATTTTGACGATAGACCAGCTTAATCCTAACCAGCAACAGCTGACCATTCAAAATGATATTTCATTAGAGTAAGGAGCCTCATACCTTCAAAGATAAAAGTGATGAGTACGCAGAAGAAGATTTAAGTCCACGAAAACCAACATCATATGAGATACTCCCATCAGCCTTGAAAAGTCCAAAATTCCTCTCAGAAGTTGGTCCAGGCTTCAAATCCTCATTAAATATTGCAAAAATATATGCCTTTAGCACAATTTTGGGCCTGAAAGGAGTACCTTTCTTTTTTGCAAGTCTTTTACGAAGGTTATAATTAAATGTTCTTGCATTATCAGATGTTGCTGCAGCTTCATTGTCATCCCCTCGGGATGCCCAACCTGTTTCAGTAACTATGACTTCCATCTTTTTATATCCAGCATCTTCCAATGCAGCATAAGCTGCATCAATTTGAGCATCAAGCATGTTATCATAATGCAGATCAGTTTTTGGATCATAAATACCCTGAGTTTTCTGGAAAAGAGCATAATTAATATCAATATTCCCTGGATCACCCATGTACGCCAGGAATGGATAAGCATTCAAACAGAATGGAGAGCCAATTTGCGAGAAGAACTGTAAGAGTGGTTTCATGAACTGGACAACATTGTCTCTGAATACACACGAAGAAGGAGGAAAGGAATTGGCAAAAACAGCTTGCGAATGTGCTGTAGTAATCTGAATTTTATCGGCTAAATGAAGTTTGTTTAAGGCATTGTAAACATTTTTAACCGCACCCAAAAGAGCTTCCCAGAGTTCATAATCACTACCTCCTAAAACTTCATTCCCCACTGCAATCCCACAAATACTTGTCCCTGGGAGGAATGCCTGCACATTTTCTTTAACCCAAGTCAAGGCATGACTTGCATTAGCATTCATTTCTTTGACATAATCATTTGGAAGCCCAACTACAAGTTCAAGCCCTGTCCCACTAAATGCCTTGAGAACACTATGATCAGCATCATAAATCCGAACATTTTTTATCTTTGCTGCCCTCAGAAGTGTAACAACTTCATCAGGCGAAGGGATGTTATCAGCAATTCTTCCGTAATTTATTCCATATGTTCCAGTGAATGCTTGCACTTTTAGACGTCCTGTCGGAGAAGAAAAAAAAAACGAAAAGAGCAAAGGATGGTTTAATCAAGTTGCCATTCGTTTAGCCACTAAATGAGGGTAAAAACAAATTTAAGATGACATTAAGAAAATGGTCCTTGAATGTTTGGGAGGAATGCACGCAGCTTTCTTAGCTGATTTCAGAATATCCGTAACAGTTCTTAATAAACCCTTCAGAGGTTTTAGGGAATGAAAATTCAATGGTATATAACCAAACTAACATATTCATCTTCTTTGACAAACCATATTGCAAGAAAGATCAATAAAAAAGAGAAACTGAAAACTAATACAAGTCCACAAACTAGTGATCAAATTCGGTAAGAGTGTAATAATCTAAAGGTATGCAGCTTTAGCAAGGAAACCTATGCTAAACCAATTTGATCAACCAAAGAATCAGAATTACGACATGTTCAAGAAAAGCAATAAAAATCCCGTGTGATAAATTAATAACTTATTTTGTGATAAGAAGAAAACGTTGCCAAAAACAAGATAAGAGTCTCAAAATAGTACGATCAACCATAAAAGGTAAAAGAAAACAAACAAAATCTAGTCTTCCAGTTGACTACAGTCAACACACTGTCAAATTATCACATATTAAGGGCAATCCAAGAGAATTCCCCATTGAAATAAAACCCTCTTTTGCAACATCAAGCAACCTAAAAGAACAATAAGAAAAAGAAATATATAACGCTGATCCAAGTTCCAGTAAATCCAGCAAACTCTGGGATCAACCCAGATATGATAGGAACAGTAAGCACTCAAATATATCCACCACAAATTAATTAAAAACCAAAATTCCACATGAGGATAAGAGAAGAGAGAAAGTACCAATTGAAGCAAAGAAGAGCAAGAAGATAAGCAAGAACCGACGGGAACTTTTCATTGGCTTAGTAAAGAAAAAATCAAGAAGAAATTATGATTAATCTTTCTATAATAAAACGACCTCTCTTTGAATAAAAACGTCCTACGCAACTGTAATGCTTGTTCTTCCTCCTCAGGTGGCATGCCATAAGAAATACAAAAAGATTCCCTTTTTCACTTTCTACATGCTCAAAATTCTAACTTTACTAATACCCATCAGTTGCTCTCTCTCTCTCTCTCTCTCTCTCTCTCTCTCTTCAACTCTCTCAATAAAAATCTGCAGTTTTAGTACAAATCTTTGTTTATAACTTCTTAGTTATATGCAAAGAAGACTAATGAAGCCAGAGAAGGGAGCAAGTAGGTTCTTGTTTTGGCGGTCGTTTTCTATGGGACTTTGAGTGCAGAGTGCGTACAGAGAGGTGTTTTGGGCTTTTGATTCTTTGAATTGTTTTTCTCTTTTCTTGATTTTTATTTGGTTCTTTTATGGGTATTTTGAGATTTGTTTAAGTATTTGTTTTGTTGCTCTCTGCCATTGCCATTGGTCGGTGTTTTCTTGCCTGTTTAGCCTTGAAAGCCATACTCAGTATATTTGCAATTTTGCCTCTTTCTTTTTTCGCAACTCCCACGCGCTCTACTATTTCACGAGCTGAAAAGATTAACAATAGGAAGTAAAACTGTTTTTGAATCCGTTTGAAAACAATAATGAAAAAAAGAAAAAATCCAATTCAATCGAAATTTATTAAGAATATTTATGGATAAATGATTATTTTAAAATGAATTTGAATTTCCATTTCAAATTTAATTTTAAAATTCCCCTCAAAAAAAATTAATTTTAAAAATAATAAATAATGTTAACTATTTAATTGATTCCAATAAAATTTAATTCAATTATTTGTAAATTCATGTGTGCAAAATAATTTTTCAAAATGATGTACTTGTTATTTGAAATTATCAAAATTTAAAATAATTATACTTTCTTTTGTAGTTTATTTTATTTATAAAGAGATATGTTGAATAATAATGTAATTAAATTAAAATAATAATATCTTGAATTGTCAACAATGGATTGTTGAGCTTTATAAAATTGATCCTTTCATTCTTATTAAAATGACTTTTTTTTAAACTTTAAAATAATTTAATATTATTAATTATAACTTTCCTAATATAGAATTTAATTTATTTAAATTGTAAATTTTCCGAGCATATTATAAAATTATAAGATTTCATTTCAATTAACGATAATTAATTAAAAAGCAATTCACTTATTATAATTTCAAAAGGAAGGGCATCTATAATATGCTTTACCTCAAATTACTTGATTGCATATGTATTATAAAAATGTTAATTTTGAATTTTATAGTGTGAAAAAAGTATTTTCTATCCTATTAAAAACACATCACATATTTTGAGAGTAAACATTTATAAATAAACAAAATTTTCATTTATATTCTAATTTCAAAAATTAAATTTTAGCAAATAAGATAAAAGGTAAATTTAAATTTACTTAGTTTCTATTACATACATTTTAAATTTAAAATTACATGATATTTTTTTTCTGTAAATGAAAATTTAATTTTTAACCTACCGATTCTAATTTGATATTCAAAGATGAAAATAAATAAATTAATTTATACTCTGACTATAATATTAGAATTATAATTTTTATATTTAAAAATATTTTATACTATTTAAAACAAGAACAAAGTTAAGAATATTTTGATGAATGGAATTATGCAATGGTAATCTTAAATAAATTATAGTAAATGTGATTCTAACTCTTAATTTATGATGTCAAGGAAGAAGGTATAGCGCGTGAGGAAAACGGTTATTGTTTTGAAACTGAAACATGAAATTCGTTCTTTTGACGGTTTGACCAAAAGCCTCAAGATTTTGGCCCAGTGGAAGAAATGAGGTTTATTTTTTATTAGAGCACTCACTCCTACGGTACGAATATAATAATTAAAATTAAATATGTAATTACGTCATTAGTCAATTTTAAAAATCTGGGACCCAAATAAATAATCTCTACTTTGACCTTGACAAATAATTATCACCCAAATCATCCTCGACCAAAACACGCAAAGCAAGAGTGTGCAATCCCCGGTTCAATTCCGAATCAAACCAAAGTATAAAACTGGAAAACTGAAAATAACATTACAAAATTATCACATGATTTTATGAAAAATATAATTTATTTTTAATTTCTGCATTGAAATACGAGAATATGTAGATCATATTGAAAAGTGACCAAATAAAGCCAATTTGAAAGAATATGTATTATTTTAATAATATTAGTAGGTTGATATTGAATAAGATATATTTAGATCATTTTAGGATATATCAAAAGTACATGTCATTTTAATAATTTGGTGATCGTTATAGGGTTTATTTGATAAAATTAGTTGTTTTGGTACCTGTTAACTGTTTCGGTAGCTGTTAACTGTTTCAGTAGCATTTAGTTGTTAGTTGTTAAATAGCTTTTCATGAAAAACTAGAAGTTAAATGTTATATAAATTAACTTTTTATAAAATGCTACATTAATCTCTAAAAACTAATTCAAACGCTATATTACCGAACATTATAAAAAATAATGTTTAACGTTTTGACTCGCTATTTAAAAAGTTGCTGTCGAATATAGTTTTAGAGGAAAATGCTACTCTTACCGTGTAACCAATAATATTATTCCGCCGTTGGACCTCCCATTTATAAAAACAAATGAACTTATTGACATTAGGTCTTGTTGGCTGCAACAACCAACTAGTAGAAAAATGGAATCAATCACATAGCTACCATCCCATTTAATTATTTTGATTCCTACCTATTAATTTCACTCAATGCATGTCAAATGGTTATTCTATTTATGTTCTAATTACCAATTAATCACATCACCTAATGATAATAACTTAGAGCTTAAGTCTTTTGATCAGCTCCAACTAACTCTCCATCTTCTCTGTCATACTCATAAACCTTTTCTTTATCATATAATTAGTGCTATTCCAGTTAATCATAGGATTGGAAAAAGCAAATTAGACAAAGAAAATTGGACAATTTGCACGGGAGACTACTTGAAGAAGAAATTAACAATGTCAAGGTGGAGAGTGGAGACCCTTTTCATCTTTTTGGTTTGCAAAGTAAACTGTCTCCTACTGCAAGTAATTGTGTTGTGTGGACAAAAAGATATCTTTCAATGCTTTATAAAATTGACACCGTATTCGGCAACACGTTATTTCGTATACGGTAACACCTTTTTCTTTCAATGTTTTATAAAATTAATACCATTTTCGGCAACACGTTATTCGTATTCGGTAACATCTTTTTTAAGTAACTTTTAGTGAAAACGGTAAACGTTATTTTTTATAGCGTTTCGTAATATAACATTTGAATTAACTTTAGAAGTTAAATATAGTTTTGTATAAAAAGTTGACCCATATAACGTTTAATTTTTAACGTTTTGTCAAAAATTACTTAAATAGCTAATACCTACCAAAACAACTAATTTTACTGAATAGAAGTAGTATTAAAAATTGATGATGGTCACATTGTTAATTAAAATATTAAGATTTTAAATGTGATATTTTTTTTTTCAATTTTTACCTAAATTCAGAAAATATTATAAGTTACTGTTTTTAATTGTGCATCTCTATATATTGAATTGAATATTTAGGAATATTATTTTAAGAGTACTTTTCAGTAATACAAACACTTAATCATAAACAAAAAAATTATATATCAATAGGTATTGGTAACACTCTTTTAAAAGTTTTTGATATATATATATATAAAAGAAAGTTAGAGGTCATATTGCTATATATGTGCATGTTTGATTTTTTTTTTTTTTTTTTTGTTTTTTTTTTTCCTGGAATAAAAGGTCATCTTTAGAGCTGGCTAGAAGGAATGGTGCTTGGTTATAAGGTAACAGTGATTAATAAGATAATGCAAGTGTTTTTTTTTTTTTTTTTGGGTAATGGTGGACCTTTTTGGCTTTTGCATTACCAATTGATATATTCCACATCATAAGGAATCTTCTTTTACACCCTTGTTTGTTAAATCCACAAAAAGATTATTAATCACATTCTCTTTTTCAGAGGATTTATGTGGCAAGAATTCATTAGAGCAATTATGTAATATTTCTTTTCGGTCCATATGTAAACCCCAATGAACTGAGCCGAGATTAAAAATTAATTCTGTGACATCCTACCGAGTCGAGTCTTTGCATAGTCGAGTCTTGCATTGAGTTGAGTCGAGTTGAACCAAACCCGGTTGGGGTATGGGGGAGAATGGGATTATGTAGTGGAACTTACTTTGATTGCGAGAAAAAGAGCAAAAGTGTAAGGATTGAGGAATTTAATGGCTATTAAACAGAACAAGCTTGGGTATAAGTTTAGCTTTTGACAATGAGGTATCATTTAGTAAGTTTCCAATATATTATCTTGATTTGTGATGACTT